CGTGTCTCTCTCACCCCGTCTCTCTCCCCGTGTGTCTCTCTCCCCGTGTCTCTCTCTCTGTGTCTCTCTCTCTCTGTGTCTCTCTCACCCCGTGTCTCTCTCCCCGTGTCTCTCTCCCCGTGTCTCTCTCTCTCTCTCTGTGTCTCTCTCACCCCGTGTCTCTCTCCCCGTGTCTCTCTCTCCCCGTGTCTCTCTCACCCCGTGTCTCTCTCACCCCGTGTCTCTCTCACCCCGTGTCTCTCTCACCCCGTGTCTCTCTCTCACCCCGTGTCTCTCTCTCACCCCGTGTCTCTCTCACCCCGTGTCTCTCTCACCCCGTGTCTCTCTCACCCCGTGTCTCTCTCACCCCGTGTCTCTCTCACCCCGTGTCTCTCTCCGTGTGTCTCTCTCTCTCTCTCCCCGTGTGTCTCTATCTCTGCGTGTCTCTCTCTCTGTGTCTCTCTCTCCCAGTGTCTCTCTCTCTCCCCGTGTCTCTCTCACCCCGTGTCTCTCTCACCCCGTGTCTCTCTCACCCCGTGTCTCTCTCACCCCGTGTCTCTCTCACCCCGTGTCTCTCTCACCCCGTGTCTCTCTCACCCCGTGTCTCTCTCTCCCCGTGTCTCTCTCTCCCCGTGTCTCTCTCACCCCGTGTCTCTCTCTCCCCGTGTCTCTCTCTCCCCATGTCTCTCTCTCTCCCCGTGTCTCTCTCCCCATGTCTCTCTCACCCCGTGTCTCTCTCTCCCCGTGTCTCTCTCTCCCAGTGTCTCTCTCTCTCTCCAGTGTCCCTCTCACCCCGTGTCTCTCTCTCCCCGTGTCTCTCTCTCCCCGTGTCTCTCTCTCTCCCCGTGTGTCTCTCTCTCTGCGTGTCTCTCTCTCTGTCTCTCTCTCCGTGTCTCAGTTGTTTGTGTGTCTCTCTCTCTGCGTGTGTCTCTCTCTCCGTGTCTCAGTGTCTGTGTGTCTCTCTCTCTGCGTGTCTCTCTCTGCGTGTCTCTCTCTCTCTCTCTCCGTGTCTCTATCTCCCCGTCTCTCTCTCTCTCTCTCTCTCCCCGTGTCTCTCTCTCTCCCCGTGTGTCTCTATCTCTGCGTGTCTCTCTCTCCATGTCTCTCTCTCCGTGTCTCTCTCTCCCCCCGTGTCTCTCTCTCCCCCCGTGTCTCTCTCTCCGTGTCTCTCTCCGTGTCTCTCTCTCCCCCGTGTCTCTCTCTCCCCGTGTCTCTCTCTCTCCCCGTGTGTCTCTCTCTCTGCGTGTCTCTCTCTCTGTCTCTCTCTCCGTGTCTCAGTTGTTTGTGTGTCTCTCTCTCTGCGTGTGTCTCTCTCTCCGTGTCTCAGTGTCTGTGTGTCTCTCTCTCTGCGTGTGTCTCTCTCTGCGTGTCTCTCTCTCTGTCTCTCTCTCCGTGTCTCGGTGTCTGTGTCTCTCTCTCTGCGTGTGTCTCTCTCTGCGTGTCTCTCTCTCTCCCCGTGTCTCTCTCTCTCCCCGTGTGTCTCTCTCTCTGTCTCTCTCTCCGTGTCTCAGTTGTTTGTGTGTCTCTCTCTCTGCGTGTGTCTCTCTCTGTGCGTGTCTCTCTCTCTCTCTGTGTCTCTCTCTCTCTCCCCGTGTCTCTCTCTCTCCCCGTGTCTCTCTCTCTCACCCCGTGTGTCTCTCTCTCCCCGTGTCTCTCTCTCTGTCTCTCTCTCCGTGTCTCGGTGTCTGTGTGTCTCTCTCTCCCCGTGTCTCTCTCACCCCGTGTCCCTCTCACCCCGTGTCTCTCTCCCCGTGTCTCTCTCTCTCCCCGTGTCTCTCTCTCCCCGTGTCTCTCTCTCTCTCCGTGTCTCTCTCTCTCTCACCCCGTGTGTCTCTCTCTCCCCGTGTCTCTCTCTCTGTCTCTCTCTCCGTGTCTCGGTGTCTGTGTGTCTCTCTCTCCCCGTGTCTCTCTCACCCCGTGTCCCTCTCACCCCGTGTCTCTCTCCCCGTGTCTCTCTCTCCCCGTGTCTCTCTCCCCGTGTCTCTCTCCCCGTGTCTCAGTGTCTGTGTGTCTCTCTCTCTGCGTGTGTCTCTCTCTCCCCGTGTCTCTCTCTCTGTCTCTCTCTCCGTGTCTCGGTGTCTGTGTGTCTCTCTCTCTGCGTGTGTCTCTCTCTGCGTGTGTCTCTCTCCCCGTGTCTCTCTCTCCCCGTGTCTCTCTCTCTCTCTCTCTCCCCGTGTCTCTCTCTCTCCCCGTGTCTCTCTCTCTCCCCGTGTCTCTCTCTCCCCGTGTCTCTCTCTCCCCGTGTCTCTCTCTGCGTGTGTCTCTCTCTGCGTGTCTCTCTCTCCCCGTGTCTCTCTCTGTCTCTCTCTGCGTGTCTCTCTCCCCGTGTCTCTCTCTGTGCGTGTGTCTCTCTCTGCGTGTCTCTCTCTCTGCGTGTCTCTCTCTCTGCGTGTGTCTTACTGCTGAAGGTGTGTGTGTCTCTCTGTGCGTGTGTCTCTCTCCCTGCGTGTGTCTCTCTCTGCGTGTCTCTATCTCTGCGTGTCTCTCTCTCTGCGTGTGTCTCTCTCTGCGCGTGTCTCTCTCTCTGCGTGTGTCTTACTGCTGAAGGTGTGTGTCTCTCTCTCCCCGTGTCTCTCTCTCTCTGCGTGTCTCTCTCCCCGTGTCTCTCTCTGCGTGTGTCTCTCTCTGCGTGTGTCTCTCTCTCTGCGTGTGTCTTACTGCTGAAGGTGTGTGTCTCTCTCCCTGCGTGTGTCTCTCTGTGCGTGTCTTACTGCTGAAGGTGTGTGTCTCTCTCTGCGTGTCTTACTGCTGAAGGTGTGTGTCTCTCTCCCCGTGTGTCTCTCTCTCCCCGTGTGTCTCTCTCTCTCTGCGTGTGTCTCTCTCTCTGTGTGTCTCTCTGTGTGTGTCTTACTGCTGAAGGTGTGTGTCTCTCTGCGCGTGTCTTACTGCTGAAGGTGTCCGGCCAGAACATCTTTACAGATGGGCTGCTCAGCCAAAGTGAGCCAGAACTCGCAGGCCTCTAGCGAGACATTGTCATCAGGATCCTGGGTACGCTGTAGCATGTACTGCACACACAGAGACACAGATTATAGAGACACAGAGACAGAGAGAGAGACACACAGAGAGACACAGAGAGAGACAGAGACACACAGAGAGAGAGAGACACACAGAGAGAGAGACACAGAGACAGAGAGACAGGCCTCTAGCGAGACATTGTCATCAGGATCCTGGGTACGCTGTAGCATGTACTGCACACACAGAGACACACACAGAGACACAGAGAGAGACACAGAGAGACACACAGAGACACACACAGATTATAGAGAGCCACAGAGAGAGAGAGACACAGAGAGAGAGAGACACAGAGACAGAGAGACAGGCCTCTAGCGAGACATTGTCATCAGGATCCTGGGTACGCTGTAGCATGTACTGCACACACACAGACACACACAGAGACACAGAGACAGATTATAGAGACACAGAGAGAGACACAGAGAGACACAGAGAGACACAGAGAGAGACAGAGAGAGAGACACACAGAGAGACACAGAGAGAGAGACACAGAGACAGAGAGACAGGCCTCTAGCGAGACATTGTCATCAGGATCCTGGGTACGCTGTAGCATGTACTGCACACACACAGACACACACACAGATTATAGAGACACAGAGACACACACAGAGACAGAGAGACAGGCCTCTAGCGAGACATTGTCATCAGGATCCTGGGTACGCTGTAGCATGTACTGCACACACAGAGACACACACAGAGACACAGAGACAGATTATAGAGACACAGAGAGAGACACAGAGACACACAGAGAGACACAGACAGAGACACACAGAGAGAGACACAGAGAGACAGAGAGACAGGCCTCTAGCGAGACATTGTCATCAGGATCCTGGGTACGCTGTAGCATGTACTGCACACACAGAGACACACACAGAGACACAGAGAGAGAGACACAGAGAGAGACACAGAGAGACACACACAGATTATAGAGAGCCACAGAGAGAGAGAGACACAGAGAGAGAGAGACACAGAGACAGAGAGACAGGCCTCTAGCGAGACATTGTCATCAGGATCCTGGGTACGCTGTAGCATGTACTGCACACACAGAGACACGCAGACACAGATTACAGAGACACAGAGAGACACAGAGAGACAGAGACACAGAGAGACAGAGACACAGAGAGAGAGAGACACACAGAGAGACAGAGAGAGACACAGAGAGAGACACAGAGACAGAGACACACAGAGACACACAGAGAGAGAGACACAGAGAGACAGAGAGAGACACAGAGAGACACACACAGAGACACACACAGATTATAGAGACACAGAGACACAGAGACAGAGAGACAGGCCTCTAGCGAGACATTGTCATCAGGATCCTGGGTACGCTGTAGCATGTACTGCACACACAGAGACACGCAGACACAGATTACAGAGACACAGAGAGACACAGAGAGACAGAGACACAGAGAGACAGAGACACAGAGAGAGAGAGACACACAGAGAGACAGAGAGAGACACAGAGAGAGACACAGAGACAGAGACACACAGAGACACACAGAGAGAGAGACACAGAGAGACACACACAGAGACACAGAGAGACACACACAGAGACACACACAGATTATAGAGACACAGAGAGAGACACAGAGACAGAGAGACAGGCCTCTAGCGAGACATTGTCATCAGGATCCTGGGTACGCTGTAGCATGTACTGCACACACAGAGACACACACAGAGACACAGAGAGAGACACAGAGAGACAGAGAGACACACACAGAGACACACACAGAGAGACAGAGAAACACAGAGACAGAGAGACAGGCCTCTAGCGAGACATTGTCATCAGGATCCTGGGTACGCTGTAGCATGTACTGCACACACAGAGACACACACAGAGACACAGAGAGACACAGAGACAGAGAGACAGGCCTCTAGCGAGACATTGTCATCAGGATCCTGGGTACGCTGTAGCATGTACTGCACACACAGAGACACAGATTATAGAGACAGAGAGAGAGACACAGAGAGACACACACAGAGACACACACAGATTAAAGAGACACAGAGAGAGACACAGAGACAGAGAGACAGGCCTCTAGCGAGACATTGTCATCAGGATCCTGGGTACGCTGTAGCATGTACTGCACACACAGAGAGACAGAGAGACACAGAGACAGAGAGACAGGCCTCTAGCGAGACATTGTCATCAGGATCCTGGGTACGCTGTAGCATGTACTGCACACACAGAGACACAGATTATAGAGACACAGAGAGAGACATAGAGAGAGACACAGAGACAGAGAGACACAGAGAGAGACACAGAGACAGAGAGACAGGCCTCTAGCGAGACATTGTCATCAGGATCCTGGGTACGCTGTAGCATGTACTGCACACACACAGACACGCAGAGACAGATTATAGAGACACAGAGAGAGAGAGAGAGACAGAGAGACACACAGAGACAGAGAGAGAGACACAGAGAGACACACAGAGAGAGAGACACAGAGAGACACAGAGACAGAGAGACAGAGAGAGACAGGCCTCTAGCGAGACATTGTCATCAGGATCCTGGGTACGCTGTAGCATGTACTGCACACACAGAGACACAGATTATAGAGACACAGAGAGAGACACAGAGAGAGACACACACAGAGACACACACAGAGAGACAGAGAGACACAGAGACAGAGAGACAGGCCTCTAGCGAGACATTGTCATCAGGATCCTGGGTACGCTGTAGCATGTACTGCACACACAGAGACACAGATTATAGAGACACAGAGAGAGACACAGAGAGAGACACACACAGAGACACACACAGAGAGACAGAGAGACACAGAGACAGAGAGACAGGCCTCTAGCGAGACATTGTCATCAGGATCCTGGGTACGCTGTAGCATGTACTGCACACACAGAGACACACACAGAGACACAGAGAGACAGGCCTCTAGCGAGACATTGTCATCAGGATCCTGGGTACGCTGTAGCATGTACTGCACATACAGAGACACACACAGAGACACAGAGAGACACACAGAGAGAGACACAGAGACAGAGAGACAGGCCTCTAGCGAGACATTGTCATCAGGATCCTGGGTACGCTGTAGCATGTACTGCACACACAGAGACACAGATTATAGAGACACAGAGAGAGAGAGAGACACACAGAGAGAGAGACACAGAGAGAGAGAGACAGGCCTCTAGCGAGACATTGTCATCAGGATCCTGGGTACGCTGTAGCATGTACTGCACACACAGAGACACACAGATTATAGAGACACAGAGAGAGACACAGAGAGAGACACACAGAGAGAGACACAGAGAGAGAGAGAGACACAGAGAGAGACAGAGACACAGAGACAGAGAGACAGGCCTCTAGCGAGACATTGTCATCAGGATCCTGGGTACGCTGTAGCATGTACTGCACACACAGAGACACGCAGACACAGATTATAGAGACACAGAGACACACACACAGAGAGAGACACAGAGAGACACAGAGAGAGACAGAGACACACAGAGACACAGAGAGAGAGACACAGAGACAGAGAGACAGGCCTCTAGCGAGACATTGTCATCAGGATCCTGGGTACGCTGTAGCATGTACTGCACACACAGAGACACGCAGACACAGATTATAGAGACACAGAGACACACAGATACAGAGAGACACAGAGAGACACAGAGAGAGACACAGAGAGAGACACAGAGAGAGACACAGAGAAAGAGACACAGAGACAGAGAGACAAGGCCTCTAGCGAGACATTGTCATCAGGATCCTGGGTACGCTGTAGCATGTACTGCACACACAGAGACACACACACAGATTATAGAGACAGAGACACAGAGACAGAGAGAGACAGAGAGACACAGAGAGAGAGAGAGACACACAGAGACAGAGACACAGAGAGAGAGAGACACAGAGAGACACACAGAGAGAGAGAGACAGGCCTCTAGCGAGACATTGTCATCAGGATCCTGGGTACGCTGTAGCATGTACTGCACACACAGAGACACACAGATTATAGAGACACAGAGAGAGACACAGAGAGACAGAGAGACAGGCCTCTAGCGAGACATTGTCATCAGGATCCTGGGTACGCTGTAGCATGTACTGCACACACAGAGACACACACACAGATTACAGAGACACAGAGAGAGACACAGATACAGAGAGAGACACACACAGAGACACACAGAGGGAGACAGAGAGACAGGCCTCTAGCGAGACATTGTCATCAGGATCCTGGGTACGCTGTAGCATGTACTGCACACACAGAGACACGCAGATTATAGAGACACAGAGAGAGACAGAGAGAGACACAGAGAGAGAGAGAGACACAGAGAGAGAGACACACACACAGATTATAGAGACACAGAGAGAGACACAGAGACAGAGAGACAGGCCTCTAGCGAGACATTATCATCAGGATCCTGGGTACGCTGTAGCATGTACTGCACACACAGAGACACGCAGAGACACACACAGATTATAGAGACACAGAGAGAGACACAGAGACAGAGAGACACACAGAGACACAGAGAGACACACAGAGACAGAGAGACACAGAGAGAAACAGAGAGAAACAGAGAGAGACAGAGACACACAGAGGGAGACACAGAGAGAGACACAGAGACAGAGAGAGACACAGAGAGAGAGACACAGAGACAGAGACAGGCCTCTAGCGAGACATTGTCATCAGGATCCTGGGTACGCTGTAGCATGTACTGCACACACAGAGACACAGATTATAGAGACACAGAGAGAGACACAGAGACAGAGAGAGACAGAGACACACAGAGACACACACAGAGAGACACACACAGAGACACACACAGAGACACAGAGACACACAGAGACACACAGAGAGAGACACAGAGACAGAGAGACAGGCCTCTAGCGAGACATTGTCATCAGGATCCTGGGTACGCTGTAGCATGTACTGCACACACAGAGACACGCAGAGACACACACACAGATTATAGAGACACAGAGAGAGAGACAGAGACACAGGCCTCTAGCGAGACATTGTCATCAGGATCCTGGGTACGCTGTAGCATGTACTGCACACACAGAGACACGCACAGAGACACAGAGAGAGACACAGAGAGACAGAGAGACACACACACAGACACACACAGATTATAGAGACACAGAGAGACACACAGAGAGAGACACAGAGACACAGAGAGACAGGCCTCTAGCGAGACATTGTCATCAGGATCCTGGGTACGCTGTAGCATGTACTGCACACACAGAGACACACAGAGACAGAGAGACAGGCCTCTAGCGAGACATTGTCATCAGGATCCTGGGTACGCTGTAGCATGTACTGCACACACAGAGACACACAGATTATAGAGACACAGAGAGAGACATAGAGAGAGACACAGAGAGAGAGAGACACAGAGATAGACACAGAGACAGAGAGACAGGTCTCTAGCGAGACATTGTCATCAGGATCCTGGGTACGCTGTAGCATGTACTGCACACACAGAGACACACACACAGATTACAGAGACACAGAGAGAGACACAGATACAGACACACACAGAGACACACAGAGGGAGACAGAGAGACAGGCCTCTAGCGAGACATTGTCATCAGGATCCTGGGTACACTGTAGCATGTACTGCACACACAGAGACACGCAGATTATAGAGACACAGAGAGAGACACAGAGAGAGACACAGAGAGAGAGAGAGACACAGAGAGAGAGAGACACACACAGATTATAGAGACACAGAGAGAGACACAGAGACAGAGAGACAGGCCTCTAGCGAGACATTGTCATCAGGATCCTGGGTACGCTGTAGCATGTACTGCACACACAGAGACACGCAGAGACACACACAGATTATAGAGACACAGAGAGAGACACAGAGACAGAGAGACACACAGAGACACAGAGAGACACACAGAGACAGAGAGACACAGAGAGAAACAGAGAGAAACAGAGAGAGACAGAGACACACAGAGGGAGACAGAGAGAGACGGTCCTCGAGAGAGACACAGAGAGAGACACAGAGAGACAGAGAGACACAGAGAGAGAGACACAGAGAGAGACAGAGACACAGAGAGAGAGACACACAGAGATAGACACAGAGACAGAGAGACATGCCTCTAGAGAGACATTGTCATCAGGATCCTGGGTACGCTGTAGCATGTACTGCACACACAGAGACAAGCAGACACACACAGATTATAGAGACACAGAGAGAGACACAGAGACAGAGAGACACAGAGACAGAGAGAGACAGACAGACAGAGAGAGACACAGAGACACAGAGAGAGACACAGAGACAGAGAGACAGGCCTCTAGCGAGACATTGTCATCAGGATCCTGGGTACGCTGTAGCATGTACTGCACACACAGAGACACGCAGAGACACACAGATTATAGAGACACAGAGAGAGACACAGAGACAGAGAGACACACAGAGAGAAACAGAGAGAGAGACACAGAGACACAGAGGGAGACAGAGAGAGAGACAGTCCTCGAGAGAGACACAGAGACACAGAGACAGGCCTCTAGCGAGACATTGTGACCAGGATCCTGGGTACGCTGTAGCATGTACTGCACACACAGAGACACACAGATTATAGAGACACAGAGAGAGACAGAGACACAGACAGACACACAGAGAGAGACAGAGAGACAGGCCTCTAGCGAGACATTGTCATCAGGATCCTGGGTACGCTGTAGCATGTACTGCACACACAGAGACACGCAGACACACACAGATTATAGAGACAGAGAGACACAGAGACACAGAGAGACACACAGAGAGAAACAGAGAGAGACAGAGACACACAGAGAGAGACAGAGAGACAGGCCTCTAGCGAGACATTGTCATCAGGATCCTGGGTACGCTGTAGCATGTACTGCACACACAGAGACACGCAGAGACACACACACACAGATTATAGAGACAGAGAGAGAGACACAGAGAGAGAGACAGAGAGACACAGAGATAGACACAGAGAGAGAGACACAGAGAGAGAGACACACACAGAGAGAGACACAGAGACAGAGAGGCAGGCCTCTAGCGAGACATTGTCATCAGGATCCTGGGTACGCTGTAGCATGTACTGCACACACAGAGACACGCAGACACACACAGATTATAGAGACACAGAGAGAGACATAGAGACAGAGAGACAGGCCTCTAAAGAGACATTGTCATCAGGATCCTGGGTACGCTGTAGCATGTACTGCACACACAGAGACACGCAGACACACACAGATTATAGAGACAGAGAGACACACAGAGACAGAGAGAGACAGATAGAGACAGAGAGACACAGAGAGACACAGAGAGAGAGAGACACACAGATTATAGAGACACAGAGACACAGAGAGAGAGAGACAGAGAGACACAGAGAGAGACACAGAGACAGAGAGACAGGCCTCTAAAGAGACATTGTCATCAGGATCCTGGGTACGCTGTAGCATGTACTGCACACACAGAGACACACACACAGATTATAGAGACAGAGAGACACACAGACAGAGAGAGACAGAGAGAGACAGAGAGAGACAGATAGAGACAGATAGAGACAGAGAGACACAGAGAGAGACAGACAGACAGAGAGACACAGAGACAGACACAGAGAGACACACACAGATTATAGAGACACAGAGCGAGACACAGAGAGAGACACAGAGACACAGAGAGAGAGACACAGAGAGACAGGCCTCTAGAGAGACATTGTCATCAGGATCCTGGGTACGCTGTAGCATGTACTGCACACACAGAGACATGCAGACAGAGACACACGGAGAGACACACAGAGACATATATCTTTGTGGGTGTCTGTGTGTGTGTGTGCGTCTGTGTGTGTGTGTGGATTGGAAGGATGCCAATCCACACACCCCCTACCGCACAGACTGTAACAACTACAGGGGCATCTCACTCCTCAGTGTGCCGGGAAAGGTCCTGGCAAGGATTATTCAACATCGCCTTGCCAGGCACGCTGAGGAGAGGCTTGCGGAGCCCCAATGCGGTTTCAGGAAAGGGCGGTCCTGCACAGATGTCATATTCTCTCTCCGTCTGCTACAGCAGAGGTGTAGGGAATTCCAACAAGACCTACATCTCTGCTTTATTGACATGGTCAAGGCCTATGATACCATCAGTAGGCCTGGGCTCTGGGTCGTTCTTCGTGCTTTTGGAGTACCTGACCCTCTGCTCACGATCATTAAGGACCTTCATGATGGTGAGCGGGCCCGGGTAAAACTACGTGGCCGGGAGTCAGAGCCATTCCCTGTACACCTTGGGGTGCGCGACAGGGATGTCCTCTGGCTCCCACATTATTTAACATCTATTTTGACCACGTAGTTCGTGAAGCCTTCAATAGCTGTACCGGGGGAATCTCCATATGGTACAGATATAATGGGAGGCTAATCGATGCCCGGGTGCGGTCAAGGGATGGCTCCCTATTGCTCAACCACGTTATGTATGCTGATGACTTGGTAATAGCTGCTCAGTCAGAGGAGGAGTTGGAGACGCTGCTGCTGAGACTGGAGCATGCCACTAAGAGGTGGGGCCTTACCATCAGCCCCACCAAAACTAAGCACCTGCCTGGGTATTTTGTACCATCGGACACTCCACCCCCACAACTCCCAATCGGTGATGGGGCAGTTGTGGAGAGAGTGGAGAGTTTCCCATACCTGGGCAGTGTGCTTATGACCGGCTCCAGTTTAACAGCAAAGGTCTCACTCCGAATCAGTCGAGCGGCAATATCTTTTCATCGGTTGTGTAACGCTGTGTGGAAGCTACCTGGTCTGTCGCTCCGCACTAAGCTTCAGGTCTTCTCGGCCACGGTCATTCCCTCCCTTCTCTACGCTTGCGAAACGTGGACCCCCCTAATGGAACATCTTCGCCGGTTAGAAACATTTAGGCTAGCCTGCCTACGATCCATCCTGGGTTTAACCAGGCTTGAATGTGTGAGGAGCTCACAAATCCTTGAAAGATCTGGGTAGGGTCCCATCGGTGAGCTCCTCCGGCGGGCAAGGCTGCGATGGCTGGGTCATGTAGCCCGCATGCCCAGCCACCGCATGCCGAAACAGCTTTTGTTTGGCCGGATCGAGGGGGCTAAGCGGGCGCGGCACGGGCTAGAGAAGAGATGGAGTGATGTGGTACAGGAGGACGTGGAGCTGAGTGGACTTGCCGATGACTGGTACCAGCGGTGTCAAGATCGGCCTCTGTGGAGGAGGCTCGTGAAGGACGCTACTGGGCAGTTGAAGGCAGTCGCCCTCCAACAACAACGGAGGGCGGAGGAGCGACGCTCACAACAGCGAGCGGAGCGCCGGGTGGCTAAAGCACAGCAGGTTGGCACAGTAGGGGGCACAGGTGGTGCATCAGCCAGTCATCTCAGTCAGTCGACCCGTGGCACCTGGGTCTGCCCCGTGACCTCCTGCCAGCGGGCGTTCGACACTTCACGTGGCCTCAGGGTGCACATAGCCTGGCACAAGCGTCGTGGTGACGTCACTGCCACTTAGTGGCGAATGGCGGTTGTTGTTGTATAGGTGTGTGTGTGTGTGTTGGTGTTTGTGTGTCTGTGTGTGTGTGTGTCTGTGTGTCTGTGTGTGTGTGTGTCTCTGTGTGTGTGTGTCTCTGTGTGTGTGTGTCTCTGTGTGTGTGTGTCTCTGTGTGTGTGTGTCTCTGTGTGTGTGTCTCTGTGTGTGTGTGTGTGTCTGTGTGTGTGTCTGTGTCTGTGTGTGTCTGTGAGTGTGTGTGTGTCTGTGAGTGTGTCTGTGTGTGTGTCTGTGTGTGTCTGTGTGTCTGTATGTGTGTCTGTGTGTGTCTCTGTGTGTGTGTGTGTCTGTGTGTCTCTGTGTGTGTGTCTGTGTGTGTGTGTCTGTGAGTGTGTGTGTGTCTGTGTCTGTGTGTGTCTCTGTGTGTGTGTGTGTCTGTGTGTCTGTCTGTGTGTGTGTCTGTGTGTCTAAGTGAGTGTGTCTAAGTGAGTGTGTCTAAGTGAGTGTGTCTCACCTCAATGATACTGTGCATGTGAGGGAGCAGCCTGTCCATCCGCACTGTGTGTGTGTGTGTCTGTGTCTGTGTGTGTGTCTGTGTGTGTGTCTCTGTGTGTGTGTCTGTGTGTGTGTCTGTGTGTGTGTGTCTGTGTGTGTCTCTGTGTGTGTGTGTGTCTGTGTGTGTGTGTCTGTGTGTCTATGTGTGTGTGTCTAAGTGAGTGTGTCTCACCTCAATGATACTGTGCATGTGAGGGAGCAGCCTGTCCATCCGCACTGTGTGTGTGTCTGTGTGTGTCTCTGTGTGTGTCTGTGTGTGTGTCTGTGTGTGTCTCTGTGTGTGTGTCTGTGTGTGTGTCTGTGTGTGTGTCTGTCTGTGTGTGTGTCTGTCTGTGTGTGTCTGTCTGTGTGTGTCTGTCTGTGTGTCTGTGTGTCTGTGTGTGTGTGTCTGTGTGTGTGTCTCTGTGTGTGTGTCTGTGTGTGTGTGTCTGTGTGTGTGTCTGTGACTGTGTCTGTGTGTGTGTGTCTGTCTGTGTGTGTGTGTGTCTGTCTGTGTGTGTGTCTGTGTGTGTGTCTGTGTGTGTGTCTGTGTGTGTGTCTGTGTGTGTGTCTGTGTGTCTCTGTGTGTGTGTCTGTGTGTGTGTGTCTGTGTGTGTGTCTGTGTGTGTCTCTGTGTGTGTGTCTGTGTGTGTCTGTGTGTGTGTCTGTGTCTGTGTGTGTGTCTGTGTGTGTGTCTGTGTGTGTCTAAGTGAGTGTGTCTAAGTGAGTGTGTCTAAGTGAGTGTGTCTCACCTCAATGATACTGTGCATGTGAGGGAGCAGCCTGTCCATCCGCACTTCCAGCAGCATCACGAGGGCACGGCAGACGTTCTTGCGAACGTCCGAGTCTTCGTCCGTCGCCAGTGCAAACAGATTCTGTCGGAGAGAGACACGGGGAGGGAGAGAGACACGGAGAGAGAGACACGGGGAGGGAGAGACACGGGGAGGGAGAGAGACACGGAGAGAGAGAGCGACACGGGGAGGGAGAGAGACACGGAGAGAGAGAGACACGGAGAGAGAGAGAGAGAGACACGGGGAGGGAGAGAGACACGGGGAGGGAGAGAGACACGGGGAGGGAGAGAGACACGGGGAGAGAGAGACACGGAGAGAGAGAGACACGGAGAGAGAGACACACGGGGAGGGAGAGAGACACGGAGAGAGAGAGACACGGGGAGGGAGAGAGACACGGAGAGAGAGAGACACGGGGAGGGAGAGACACGGGGAGGGAGAGAGACACGGAGAGAGAGAGCGACACGGGGAGGGAGAGAGACACGGAGAGAGAGAGACACGGAGAGAGAGAGAGAGAGAGACACGGGGAGGGAGAGAGACACGGGGAGGGAGAGAGACACGGAGAGAGACACGGGGAGAGAGAGAGAGAGACACGGGGAGGGAGAGAGACACGGGGAGGGAGAGAGACACGGGGAGAGAGAGACACGGGGAGGGAGAGAGACACGGGGAGAGAGACACGGGGAGAGAGAGAGAGAGACACGGGGAGGGAGAGAGACACGGAGAGAGAGAGACACGGGGAGAGAGACACGGGGAGAGAGAGAGACACGGAGAGAGAGACACGGGGAGGGAGAGAGACACGGAGAGAGAGAGAGACACGGAGAGAGACACACGGGGAGGGAGAGACACGGGGAGGGAGAGAGACACGGAGAGAGAGAGAGACACGGGGAGGGAGAGACACGGGGAGACACGGGGAGAGAGACACGGAGAGAGAGAGAGACACGGAGAGAGAGACACGGGGAGAGACACGGGGAGAGAGACACGGGGAGAGAGAGAGAGACACGGGGAGGGAGAGAGACACGGGGAGGGAGAGAGACACGGAGAGAGACACGGGGAGGGAGACACGGAGAGAGAGACACGGGGAGAGAGAGAGACACGGGGAGGGAGAGAGACACGGAGAGAGAGAGAGAGACACGGGGAGAGACACGGGGAGAGAGACACGGGGAGAGAGAGAGAGAGACATGGGGAGGGAGAGAGACACGGGGAGGGAGAGAGACACGGAGAGAGAGAGACACGGGGAGGGAGACACGGAGAGAGAGACACGGGGAGAGAGAGACACAGAGAGAGAGAGACACGGGGAGGGAGAGAGACACGGGGAGGGAGAGAGACACGGAGAGAGAGAGAGAGACACGGGGAGAGACACGGGGAGAGAGACACGGGGAGAGAGAGAGAGAGACATGGGGAGGGAGAGAGACACGGGGAGGGAGAGAGACACGGAGAGAGAGAGACACGGAGAGAGAGACACGGGGAGAGAGAGACACAGAGAGAGACACGGGGAGGGAGAGAGACACGGGGAGGGAGAGAGACACGGGGAGGGAGAGACACGGGGAGAGAGACACGGGGAGAGAGAGACACGGAGAGACACGGGGAGAGAGACACGGAGAGAGAGAGACACGGGGAGGTAGAGAGACACGGGGAGAGAGACACGGGGAGATTAAAAAGTGGTGTGGTGTACAGTAGTGTACAGTAGTGTAGTGTACAGTAGCGTAGTGCACAGTAGTGTTGTGTGCAGTAGTGTACAGTAGTGTTGTGTACAGTAGTGCACAGTAATGTACAGTAGTGTACAGTGGTGTTGTGTACAGTAGTGTACAGCAGTGTTGTGTACAGTAGTGCACAGTAGTGTACAGTAGTGTAGTGTACAGTAGCGTAGTGCACAGTAGTGTTGTGTGCAGTAGTGTACAGTAGTGTTGTGTACAGTAGTGCACAGTAGTGTACAGTAGTGTACAGTGGTGTTGTGTACAGTAGTGTACAGCAGTGTTGTGTACAGTAGTGCACAGTAGTGTACAGTAGTGTAGTGTACAGTAGCGTAGTGCACAGTAGTGTTGTGTGCAGTAGTGTACAGTAGCGGTGTGTACAGTAGTGTACAGTAGTGTACAGTAGTGTAGTGTACAGTAGTATACAGTAGCGTACAGTAGTGTTGTGTACAGTAGTGTGCAGTAGTGTTGTGTGCAGTAGTGTACAGTAGCGTTGTGTACAGTAGTGTACAGTAGTGTTGTGTACAGTAGTGTACAGTAGTGTTGTGTACAGTAGTGTACAGTAGTGTTTCGCGCAGCGTTACCTCTATGAACGGATCGATGTGAAGCATGAGAGCTTGTGTCCGGCTGATGATGAACTGGTTCACGCACGCGATGGCGTGCGAGCTGGGGGAGAGACACGGGGAGACACGGTGAGAGAGACACGGGGAGACACGGGGAGACACGGTGAGAGAGACACGGGGAGAGAGACACGGGGAGAGAGACACGGGGAGAGAGACACGGGGAGACACGGTGAGAAAGACACGGGGAGAGAGACACGGGGAGAGAGAGAGACACGGGGAGACACGGTGAGAGAGACACGGTGAGACACGGGGAGAGAGACACGGGGAGAGAGACACGGGGAGAGAGACACGGGGAGAAACGGGGAGACACGGGGAGAGACACGGGGAGACACGGGGAGACACGGGGAGAGAGACACGGAGAGACACGGGGAGACACGGGGAGACACGGTGAGAGAGACACGGTGAGAGAGACACGGGGAGAGAGACACGGGGAGACACGGTGAGACACGGGGAGAGAGACACGGGGAGAGACACGGGGAGAGAGACACGGGGAGACATGGGGAGAGAGACACGGGGAGAGAGACACGGTGAGAGAGACACGGTGAGAGAGACACGGTGAGAGAGACACGGGGAGAGAGACACGGGGAGAGAGACACGGGGAGAGAGACACGGGGAGAGAGACACGGGGAGACACGGTGAGAAAGACACGGGGAGAGAGACACGGGGAGAGAGAGAGACACGGGGAGACACGGTGAGAGAGACACGGGGAGACACGGGGAGAGAGACACGGGGAGAGAGACACGGGGAGAGAGACACGGGGAGAAACGGGGAGACACGGGGAGAGACACGGGGAGACACGGGGAAACACGGGGAGAGAGACACGGAGAGACACGGGGAGACACGGGGAGACACGGTGAGAGAGACACGGTGAGAGAGACACGGTGAGACACGGGGAGAGAGACACGGGGAGAGAGACACGGGGAGAGAGACACGGGGAGACACGGGGAGAGAGACACGGGGAGAGAGACACGGTGAGAGAGACACGGTGAGAGAGACACGGTGAGAGAGACACGGGGAGAGAGACACGGGGAGAGAGACACGGTGAGAGAGACACGGGGAGAGAGACACGGGGAGAGAGACACGGGGAGAGAGACACGGGGAGAGAGAGACACGGGGAGAGAGACACGGGGAGAGAGACACGGGGAGACACGGGGAGAGAGACACGGGGAGAGAGACACGGGGAGACATGGGGAGAGAGACACGGGGAGAGAGACACGGTGAGAGAGACACGGTGAGAGAGACACGGGGAGACACGGGGAGACAGACACGGTGAGAAAGACACGGGGAGAGAGACACGGGGAGAGAGACACGGGGAGAGAGAGAGACACGGGGAGACACGGTGAGAGAGACACGGGGAGACACGGGGAGAGACACGGGGAGAGAGACACGGGGAGAGAGACACGGAGAGACACGGTGAGAGAGACACGGGGAGATAGACACGGGGAGAGAGACACGGGGAGAGATACACGGAGAGACACGGTGAGAGAGACACGGGGAGAGAGACACGGGGAGAGAGACACGGGGAGAGAGACACGGGGAGAGAGACACGGGGAGACACGGTGAGACACGGGGAGACACGGGGAGAGAGACACGGGGAGAGAGACACGGGGAGAGAGACACGGGGAGACATACACGGGGAGAGAGACACGGGGAGAGAGACACGGGGAGAGAGACACGGGGAGAGAGACACGGGGAGAGAGACACGGGGAGAGAGACACGGGGAGACAGACACGGTGAGAAAGACACGGGGAGAGAGACACGGGGAGAGAGACACGGGGAGAGAGACACGGGGAGAAAGACACGGGGAGAGAGACACGGGGAGAGAGACACGGGGAGAGAGACACGGGGAGAAAGACACGGGGAGAGAGACACGGGGAGAGAGACACGGGGAGAGAGACACGGGGAGACACGGTGAGACACGGGGAGACACGGGGAGAGAGACACGGGGAGAGACACGGGGAGAGAGACACGGGGAGAGAGACACGGGGAGAGAGACACGGGGAGAGAGACACGGGGAGAGAGACACGGGGAGAGAGACACGGGGAGAGAGACACGGGGAGAGAGACACGGGGAGACAGACACGGTGAGAAAGACACGGGGAGAGAGACACGGGGAGAGAGACACGGGGAGAGAGACACGGGGAGAGAGACACGGGGAGAGAGACACGGGGAGAGAGACACGGGGAGAGAGACACGGGGAGAAAGACACGGGGAGAGAGACACGGGGAGAGAGACACGGGGAGAGAGACACGGGGAGAAAGACACGGGGAGAGAGACACGGGGAGAGAGACACGGGGAGAGAGACACGGGGAGAAAGACACGGGGAGAGAGACACGGGGAGAGAGACACGGGGAGAGAGACACGGGGAGACACGGGGAGACAGACACGGTGAGAAAGACACGGGGAGAGAGACACGGGGAGAGAGACACGGGGAGAGAGAGAGACACGGGGAGACACGGTGAGAGAGACACGGGGAGACACGGGGAGAGACACGGGGAGAGAGACACGGGGAGAGAGACACGGGGAGACACGGGGAGAGACACGGGGAGACATGGTGAGACACGGGGAGAGAGACACGGGGAGAGATACACGGAGAGACACGGTGAGAGAGACACGGGGAGAGAGACACGGGGAGAGAGACACGGGGAGAGAGACACGGGGAGAGATACACGGGGAGAGAGACACGGTGAGACACGGGGAGACACGGGGAGAGAGACACGGGGAGAGAGACACGGGGAGAGAGACACGGGGAGAGAGACACGGGGAGAGAGACACGGGGAGAGAGACACGGGGAGAGAGACACGGGGAGAGAGACACGGGGAGAGAGACACGGGGAGAGAGACACGGGGAGACACGGTGAGAGAGACACGGGGAGAGAGACACGGGGAGAGAGACACGGGGAGAGACGGGGAGAGAGACCCGGGGAGAGAGACACGGAGAGACCCGGGGAGAGAGACACGGGGAGAGAGACACGGGGAGAGAGACCCAGGGAGAGAGACACGGGGAGAGAGACACGGGGAGAGAGACACGGTGAGAGAGACACGGGGAGAGAGACACGGGGAGAGAGACACGGGGAGAGAGACACGGGGAGAGATACACGGAGAGACACGGTGAGAGAGACACGGGGAGAGAGACACGGGGAGAGAGACACGGGGAGAGAGACACGGGGAGACACGGTGAGACACGGGGAGACACGGGGAGAGAGACACGGGGAGAGAGACACGGGGAGAGAGACACGGGGAGAGAGACACGGGGAGAGAGACACGGGGAGAGAGACACGGGGAGAGAGAGACACGGGGAGAGAGACACGGGGAGAGAGACACGGGGAGCGAGACACGGGGAGAGAGACACGGGGAGAGAGACACGGGGAGAGAGACACGGGGAGAGAGACACGGGGATAGAGACACGGGGAGAGAGACACGGGGAGAGAGACACGGGGAGAGAGACACGGGGAGAGAGACACGGGGAGAGAGACACGGGGAGAGAGACACGGGGAGAGAGACACGGGGAGAGAGACACGGGGAGACACGGGGAGACAGACATGGGGAGACACGGGGAGACACGGGGAGACACGGGGAGAGAGACACGGAGAGACACGGGGAGACACGGGGAGAGAGACATGGGGAGAGAGACACGGGGAGAGAGACACGGTGAGACACGGGGAGACACGGTGAGACACAGGGAGAGAGACACGGGGAGAGAGACACGGGGAGAGAGACACGGGGAGAGAGACACGGGGAGAGAGACACGGGGAGAGAGACACGGGGAGAGACACAGGGAGAGACACAGGGAGAGAGACCCGGGGAGAGAGACACGGGGAGAGAGAGACACGGGGAGAGAGACACGGGGAGAGAGACTCTGTCTGTCTCTCTGTCTCTGTGTGTCTCACCGTATCTTGGGGCTGGAGTGCTTGAAGAACTGCAGAAACTTTGGGATCATCACGTTCAGAGGCCTCTCCAGAACCTCACTGTCCAATATCTCAGCAGAGTCCTCACAAATCTTCTGAAGAGCACCAAACGCTCCCTGACAGACGCACCGGGAGGACACGGACACACAGACACACACTCACTTAGACACACACTCACTTAGACACACACACACACACTCACTAAGACACACACACTTAGACACACACTCACTTAGACACACACTCACTTAGACACACACACAGACACACAGACACACACTCACTTAGACACACACTCACTTAGACACACACACACAGACACACACTCACTTAGACACACACTCACTTAGACACACACTCACTTAGACACACACACACAGACACACACTCACTTAGACACACACTCACTTAGACACACACACACAGACACACACTCACTTAGACACACACTCACTTAGACACACACACACAAACACGCAGACACACACACACACAGACACACACTCACTTAGACACACACTCACTTAGACACACACTCACTTAGACACACAGACACACACTCACTTACACACACTCACTTAGACACACACTCACTTAGACACACACACACTTAGACACACACTCACTTAGACACACACTCACTTAGACACACACTCACTTAGACACACACTCACTTAGACACACACTCACTTAGACACACAGACACACACTCACTCACTTAGACACACAGACACACACTCACTTAGACACACACTCACTTAGACACACACTCACTTAGACACACACTCACTTAGACACACACACAGACACACAGACACACACTCACTTAGACACACACTCACTTAGACACACACACACACAAACACACACTCACTTAGACACACAGACACACACTCACTTAGACACACACACACAAACACACACTCACTTAGACACACACTCACTTAGACATACACTCACTTAGACACACACTCACTTAGACACACACACACACACAGACACACACTCACTTAGACACACACTCACTTAGACACACACTCACTTAGACACACACTCACTTAGACACACACTCACTTAGACACACACTCACTTAGACACACACTCACTTAGACACACACTCACTTAGACACACACTCACTTAGACACACACTCACTTAGACACACACTCACTTAGACACACACTCACTTAGACACACTCACTTAGACACACACTCAGACACACACTCACTTAGACACACACACAGACACACACTCACTTAGACACACACACAGACACACACTCACTTAGACACACACTCACTTAGACACACACACACTTAGACACACACACACACAAACACAGACACACACTCACTTAGACACACACACTTAGACACACACACACTTAGACACACACTCACTTAGACACACTCACTTAGACACACACACAAACACAGACACACTCACTTAGACACACACTCACTTAGACACACACTTAGACACACACTCACTTAGACACACTCACTTAGACACACTCACTTAGACACACACACAGACACACAGACACACACTCACTTAGACACACACTCACTTAGACACACACACAGACACACAGACACTCACTTAGACACACTCACTTAGACACACACTCACTTAGACACACACACACAAACACACACTCACTTAGACACACAGACACACACTCACTTAGACACACAGACACACACTCACTTAGACACACACTCACTTAGACACACACTCACTTAGACACACACACTCACTTAGACACACTCACTTAGACACACACACAGACACACACTCACTTAGACACACACACACAAACACAGACACACACTCACTTAGACACACACACACACAAACACAGACACACACTCACTTAGACACACACACACAAACACACACTCACTTAGACACACACTCACTTAGACACACACACTTAGACACACACACACAGTCACTTAGACACATACACACAGACACACAAACACTCACTTAGACACACTCACTTAAACACACACTCACTCACTTAGACACATACACACAAACACAGACACACAAACACAGACACACACTCACTTAGACACACTCACTTGGACACAAACACACTCACTTAGACACATACTAACTTAGACACACAAACACACACTCACTTAGACACACTCACTTAGACACACAAACACACACACACTCACTTAGACACATACTAACTTAGACACATAAACACAGACACTCACTTAGACACACACACACAAACACACACACACAAACACACAGTCCCATACACACACTCACTTAGACACACACACAGACACACACTCACTTAGACACACACTCACTTAGACACATACACTCACTTAGACACATACACACTCACTTAGACACATACACACTCACTTAGACACACACACACTCACTTAGACACACACATACTCACTCACTTAGACACTCACTCACTTAGACACTCACTCACTGAGACACTCACTCACTTAAGACACTCACTCACTTAGACACACACTCACTTAGACACACACTCACTTAGACACAGACACACTTAGACACACACTCACTTAGACACATATACACAAACACACACTTATACACACTCACTTAGACACACAAACACTCTCACTTAGACACTCACTTAGACACACATACACACTTAGACACACACTCACTTAGACACACAAACACACACACAGTCACTTAGACACATACACACAGTCACTTAGACATACACACAGACACACAAACACACTCACTTAGACACACTCACTTAAACACACAAACACACTCACTCACTTAGACACATACACACAAACACAGACACACAAACACACTTAGACACACGATCACTTAGACACACACTCACTTAGACACACAAATACACACACAGTCACTTAGACACATACACAGTCACTTAGACACACATACACACAAACACACTTAGACACACACTCACTTAAACACACAAACACACACTCACTTAGACACATACACACAGACACACAAACAGACACACTCACTTAGATACAAACACACACACTCACTTAGACACATACTAACTTAGACACACAAACACACACTCACTTAGACACACTCACTTAGACACACAAACACACACACACTCACTTAGAAACATACTAACTTAGACACACAAACACAGACACACACTCACTTAGACACACAAACACACTCACTTAGACACACTCACTTAGACATACTAACTTAGACACAAACACAGACACATACTAACTTAGACACACACTCACTTAGACACACTCACTTAGACACACAAACACACACACTCACTTAGACACAAACACAGACATACACTCACTTAGACACATACACTTAGACACACTCACTTAGACCGTCACTTAGACACACACTCACTTAGACACACACTCACTTAGACACACAAACACACACACTCACTTAGACACATACTCAGACACACAAACACAGACACACACTCACTTAGACATACTCACTTAGACACATACACAGACACACAAACACACACTCACTTAGACATACTCACTTAGACACATACACACAGACACACAAACACACTCACTTAGACACACTCACTTAGACACATACACACTCGCTTAGACACACACTCGCTTAGACACTCGCTTAGACACACAAACACTTAGACACACAAACACAGACACACACTCACTTAGACACACTCACTTAGTGGGTGGGTGGGTGAGTGAGTGAGTGGGTGAGTGAGTGGGTGGGTGAGTGAGTGGGTGGGTGGGTGAATGAGTGGGTGAGTCAGTGAGTGGGTGAGTGGGTGGGTGAATGAGTGAGTGGGTGAGTGAGTGGGTGAGTGAGTGGGTGAGTGAGTGGGTGAGCGTGGGTGGGTGAGTGGGTGAGTAAGTGGGTGGGTGGGTGGGTGAGTGAGTGGGTGGGTGAGTGAGTGGGTGAGTGAGTGGGTGAGTGGGTGAGTGAGTGGGTGAGTGGGTGAGTAAGTGGGTGAATGAGTGAGTGAGTAGTGAGTGGGTGAGTGAGTGGGTGAGCGTGGGTGGGTGAGCGAGTGAGTGGGTGGGTGAGTAAGTGGGTGGGTGGGTGAGTGGGTGAGTGAGTGAGTGGGTGAGTGGGTGAGTGAGTGGGTGGGTGAGTGGGTGAGTGAGTGGGTGAGTGAGTGGGTGAGTGAGTGGGTGAGTGAGTGGGTGAGTGGGTGAGTGGGTGAGTGAGTGAGTGGGTGAGTGAGTGGGTGAATGAGTGAGTGGGTGAGTGAGTGAGTGAGTGGGTGAGTGAGTGGGTGAGTGAGTGAGTGGGTGGGTGAGTGGGTGGGTGAATGAGTGAGTGGGTGAGTGAGTGGGTGAGTGAGTGGGTGAGTGAGTGGGTGAATGAGTGAGTGAGTAGTGAGTGGGTGAGTGGGTGAGTGAGTGGGTGAGTGAGTGGGTGAGTGGGCGGGTGAGTGGGTGGGTGGGTGGGTGAATGAGTGAGTGGGTGAGTGAGTGGGTGAGTGAGTGAGTGGGTGAGTGAGTGGGTGAGTGAGTGAGTGGGTGAGTGAGTGGGTGAATGAGTGAGTGAGTGGGTGAGCGTGGGTGGGTGAGTGAGTGGGTGAGCGAGTGGGTGGGTGGGTGGGTGAGTGAGTGGGTGGGTGGGTGAGTGGGTGGGTGAATGAGTGAGTGGCTGAGTGAGTGAGTGGGTGAGTGAGTGGGTGAGTGAGTGGGTGAGTGAGTGAGTGAGTAGGTGAGTGAGTGGGTGAGTGGGTGAGTGAGTGGGTGAGTGAGTGGGTGAATGAGTGAGTGAGTGGGTGAGTGAGTGGGTGAGCGTGGGTGGGTGAGTGAGTGGGTGAGCGAGTGAGTGGGTGAGCGAGTGAGTGGGTGGGCGGGTGAGTGGGTGTGTGAGTGAGTGGCTGAGTGAGTAGTGAGTGGGTGAGTGAGTGGGTGAGTGGGTGAGTGAGTGAGTGAGTGGGTGAGTGGGTGGGTGAGTGGGTGGGTGAATGAGTGAGTGGGTGAGTGAGTGAGTGAGTGGGTGAGTGAGTGGGTGAGTGAGTGAGTAGTGAGTGAGTGAGTGGGTGAGTGAGTGAGTGAGTGGGTGAGTGAATGAGTGAGTGGGTGAGTGAGTAGTGAGTGGGTGAGTGGGTGGGTGGGTGAATGAGTGGGTGAGTGAGTGAGTGAGTAGTGAGTGAGTGAGTGGGTGAGTGAGTGAGTGGGTGAGTGAGTGGGTGAGTGAGTGAGTGGGTGAGTGAATGAGTGGGTGAGTGAGTGGGTGAGTGAGTGGGTGAGTGAGTGGGTGAGTGAATGAGTGAGTGGGTGAGTGAATGAGTGAGTGGGTGAGTGGGTGAGTGAGTGGGTGAGTGAGTGAGTGAGTGGGTGAGTGAATGAGTGAGTGGGTGAGTGAGTAGTGAGTGGGTGGGTGGGTGAGTGAGTAGTGAGTGAGTGAGTGGGTGAGTGAGTGGGTGAGTGAGTGGGTGAGTGAGTGAGTGGGTGAGTGAATGAGTGAGTGGGTGAGTGAGTGAGTGGGTGAGTGAGTGGGTGAGTGAGTGAATGAGTGAGTGGGTGAGTGAGTGGGTGAGTGAATGAGTGAGTGGGTGAGTGAGTGGGTGAGTGGGTGAGTGGCTGAGTGAGTGAGTGGGTGAGTGAGTGGGTGAATGAGTGAGTGGGTGGGTGAGTGAGTGGGTGAGTGAGTGGGTGAGTGAGTGGGTGAGTGAATGAGTGAGTGGGTGAGTGAGTGAGTGGGTGAGTGAGTAGTGAGTGGGTGAGTGAGTGGGTGAGTGAGTAGTGAGTGGGTGAGTGAGTGGGTGGGTGAGTGGGTGAGCGAGTGGGTGGGTGAGTGAGTGAGTGAGTGGGTGGGTGAGTGGGTGAGTGAGTGGGTGAGTTGCTCACCTCACAGGTGTTGTAGTCATCAGAGTCTAGGAGTGTGCACAGTTTGGGGAGCAGCTCCGGCCAACTCTGAAGTTCACCTCGAGATGCGATGGTGGTGATCAGGATGCCTGCACACCACCATCGCCATCACCACCATCATCAACATCACCACCATCACCATCATCATCACCATCATCATCACCATCATCATCGCCATCACCAACATCATCAACATCACCATCATCAACATCATCACCACCATCGCCATCACCAACATCATCAACAACACCATCATCAACATCACCAACATCACCACCATCGCCATCACCACCACCATCATCGCCACCATCGCCACCATCGCCATCACCATCACCAACATCGCCATCATCGCCACCGTCATCGCCATCACCATCACCATCGCCATCACCAACATCATCAACATCACCACACCACCATCGCCATCACCACCATCATCAACATCACCACCATCATCAACATCACCACCATCGCCATCACCAACATCATCACCATCACCATCACCAACATCATCACCAACACCATCACCATCATCACCATCATCACCAACATCACCATCATCACCAACATCACCATCATCATCACCAACACCATCACCACCATCGCCATCACCATCACCAACATCATCACCATCATCATCAACATCACCACCATCGCCATCACCAACATCAACACCACCATCACCATCATCAACATCACCACCATCGCCATCACCAACATCATAAACATCATCATCACCAACACCACCATCATCACCAACATCATCACCATCATCACCAACACCACCATCACCATCATCACCATCACCATCATCACCACCACCATCATCGCCATCACCATCATCAACATCACCAACACGACCAACACCACCATCATCACCATAACTATTATCAACATCATCGCCATCACTATCATCACCAACATCACCAACATCACCATCATCATCATCACCAACATCATCACCATCATCACCAACACCACCATCACCATCATCACCATCATCATCACCATCACCATCATCACCACGATCATCATCACCAACACGACCAACACCACCATCATCACCATCACTATCATCAACATCATCGCCATCACCATCATCACCAACACCACCAACACCACCATCATCAACATCATCGCCATCACCATCATCACCAACACCACCAACACCATCATCACCATCATCAACATCACCAACATCATCACCATCATCAACATCACCAACATCACCAACATCATCACCAACATCATCACCATCATCACCAACACCACCAACACCACCATCACCACCATCACCACCACGATCATCATCACCAACACGACCAACACCACCATCATCACCATCACTATCATCAACATCATCGCCATCACCATTATCACAAACACCACCAACACCATCATTACCATCATCAACATCATCGCCATCACCATCATCACCAACACCACCAACACCACCATCATCAACATCATCGCCATCACCATCATCACCAACACCACCACCATCATCAACATCACCATCATCATCGCCATCACCATCATCATCATCACCAACATCACCATCATCACCACCACCATCATCTTTATCACCACCACCACCATCATCAACATCATCACCACCACCACCATCACCAACATCACCATCACAATCATCAACATCATCATCATCAGAATCATCATCATCTCTGAGCAGCTGGCTGGCTGAGTGAGTGGGTGAGTGAGTGGCTGAATGAGTGGCTGAGTGAGAGGGCGAGTGTGTGGGCGAGTGTGTGGGTGAGTGAGTGAGCGGGTGGGTGAGTGTGTGGGTGAGTGTGTGAGCAAGCGTGTGGGCGAGCGTGTGGGTGAGCGTGTGGGTGAGCGTGCGGGTGAGTGAGTGGGTGAGTGAGTGGGTGAGCGAGTGGGTGAGTGAGCGAGCGGGTGAGCGTGTGGGTGAGCGAGCGGGTTAGCGTGTGGGTGAGTGAGCGGGTGAGTGAGTGGGTGAGCGTGCGGGTGAACATGCGGGTGAGTGAGTGAGCGTGTTGGTGAGCGTGCGGGTGAGTGAGCGTGCGGGTGAGTGAGCGTGCGGGTGAGCGAGCGAGCGGGTGAGCGTGCGGGTGAACATGCGGGTGAGCGAGTGAGCGTGTGGGTGAGCGAGTGAGCGAGCGGGTGAGCGAGTGAGCGTGTGGGTGAGCGTGTGGGTGAGCGGGCGCTCCCGCTCACCAATGGTGGCTCGTATGAGTGGGCTGGGATCTCCAATGCTTGTGAGGCACTCCCTGCGGATGAATTCTGCCACTGCACAGGGGAATCCCTGGTAGTGAGCCTTGACATTGTTCTTGAGGATGAGGCCACTCAGAGATCGTGTGGGTTCATCTAGAGACACACACACAGAGACACACACACAGAGACACACACACAGAGACACACACACAGAGACACACACACAGAGACACACAGAGACACACACAGAGACACACAGAGAGAGACAGAGACACACAGAGACACACAGAGAGAGAGAGACAGAGACACACAGAGACACACACACAGAGACACACAGAGACACACACACACAGAGACACACAGAGACACAGAGAGACACACAGAGACACACACACAGAGACACACACACACAGAGACACACAGAGACACACACAGAGAGAGAGACAGAGACACACACAGAGACACACACAGAGACACACACAGAGAGAGACAGAGACACACAGAAACACACACAGAGAGAGACAGAGACACACAGACACACACAGAGACACACACAGAGACACAAACACACAGAGACACACACACACAGAGACACACAGAGACACACACAGAGAGAGACAGAGACACACAGAGACACACACAGAGACACACACAGAGAGAGACAGAGACACACACAGAGACACACACAGAGAGAGACAGAGACACACAGAGACACACACACACACACAGACACACACAGAGACACACACAGAGAGACACACAGAGACACACACAGAGACACACACACAGAGACACACAGACACACACAGAGACACACAGAGACACACACACAGAGACACACACAGAGAGACACACAGAGACACACAGAGACACACACAGAGAGAGACACAGAGACACACACAGAGACACACACACAGAGAGAGACAGAGACACACACAGAGACACACACAGAGACACACACAGAGAGAAACAGAGACACACACAAAGACACACACAGAGACACACACAGAGAGACACACACAGAGACACACACAGAGACACACACACAGAGACACACACACAGAGACACATACACAGAGACACACACACAGAGACACACACAGAGAGACAGAGACACACACAGAGAGAGACAGAGACACACACACACAGAGACACACACACAGAGACACACACACACAGAGACACACAGAGACACACACACACAGACACACAGAGACACACACAGAGAGAGACAGAGACACACACAGAGACACACACAGAGAGACACACACAGAGACACACACAGAGACACACACAGAGACACACACACACAGAGACACACACACAGAGACACACACACACACAGAGACACACACAGAGACACACACAGAGAGAGACAGAGACACACACAGAGAGAGACAGAGACACACAGAGACAGAGACACACACACAGAGACACACACAGAGACACACAGAGACACACACAGAGAGAGACAGAGACACACACAGAGACACACACAGAGAGAGACAGAGACACACAGAGACACACACAGAGACACACACAGAGAGAGACAGAGACACACACAGAGAGAGACAGAGACACACAGAGACACACACAGAGAGAGACAGAGACACACAGAGACACACACAGAGAGAGACAGAGACACACACAGAGACACACACACAGAGAGACACACACAGAGACAAACACAGAGAGAGACAGAGACACACACAGACACACACAGAGAGAGACAGAGACACACACAGAGACAGACAGAGACACAACCAGACACACACAGAGAGAGACAGAGACACACACAGAGACACACACACAGAGACACACACAGAGAGAGACAGAGACACACAGAGACACACACAGAGACACACACAGAGAGAGACAGAGACACACACAGAGAGACACACACAGAGACACACACAGAGAGAAACAGAGACACACAGAGACACACACAGAGACACACACAGAGAGAGACAGAGACACAGCGTGAGACACACACACATAGACACACACACAGAGACACACACACACACACAGACACACACACAGAGACACACACAGATACACACACAGAGAGAGACAGAGACACACACAGAGACACACACACACAGAGACACACACAGAGAGAGACAGAGACACACACACAGAGACACACACAGAGAGAGACAGAGACACAGCGTGAGACACACACACATAGACACACACACACAGAGACACACACAGACACACACACACACAGAGAGACAGAGACACACATAGACACACACACACACACACAGAGAGACAGAGACACACAGAGACACAGCGTGAGACACACACAGAGACACAGACACACACACACAGAGGCACACACACAGACACACACACACACACACAGAGACACACACACAGAGACACACACACACACAAAGACACACACACACAGAGACACACACACAGAGGCACACACAAACACAGAGGCACACACGGAGATATTCTTTGGTTCATTCGGTAAAATCACGTAGATATATAGAAATGTATAGAGAGACTGAGACACACGAAGACACATTCACCCACTAACCTACTCACCCCGTGTCTCTCTCTCCCTTTGTCTCTCTCACCCACCCACCCACCCAACCACCCACCCACCCACCCAACCACCCACCCACCCAACCACCCACCCACCCAACCACCCAATCTCCCACCCAACCACCCAACCACCCACCCACCCAACCACCCAATCACCCACCCAACCACCCACCCACCCACCCAACCACCCACCCACCCAACCACCCACCCACCCAACCACCCACCCACCCAACCACCCACCCACCCAACCACCCACCCACCCAACCACCCACCCACCCAACCACCCACCCACCCAACCACCCACCCACCCACCCAACCACCCACCCACCCACCCAACCACCCACCCACCAAACCAACCACCCACCCAACCAACCACCCACCCACCCACCCACCCAACCACCCACCCACCCACCCACCCACAAACCCACCCACCCACTCACCCACCCAACCACCCACCCAACCACCCACCCACCCACCCACCCACCCACCCACCCACCCACCCACCCAACCACCCACCCACCCAAACACCCACCCCCCCACTCACAAACCCACCCACCCAACCACCCACCCACCCACCCAACCACCCACCCACCCACCCAACCACCCACCCACCCACCCAACCACCCACCCACCCACCCAACCACCCACCCACTCACCCACCGAACCACCCACCCACTCACAAACCCACCCACCCACTCACCCACCAACCCACTCACCAACCCACCCAACCACTCACTCACTCACCAACCCACCTACTCACTAACTCACTGACTTACCAACCGACCCACTCACCCACCAAACCACTCAGCCAACCACCCACCCACTCACCTACCCACCCACTCACCTACCCACCCACCCACCCACTCACTCACCCACCCACCCAACCACCCACTCACCCACCAACCAACCCACCCAACCACTCACTCACTCACCAACCCACCTACTCACTAACTCACTGACTTACCAACCGACCCACTCACCCACCAAACCACTCAGCCACCCACCCACCCACTCACCTACCCACCCACCCACTCACCTACCCACCCACCCACTCACTCACCTACCCACCCACTCACTCACCCACCCACCCAACCACCCAGCCACTCACCCAACCACCCAGCCACCCATCCACCCACCCAGCCACCCACCCACTCACCTACCCACCCACCCACTCACCCACCCACCCAACCACCCAACCACCCACCCAACCACCCACGCACCCACCCAACCACCCACCCAACCACCCACCCACTCACCCACCCAACCACCCACCCACCCACTCACAAACCCACCCACCCACTCACCCACTCACCAACCCACCCAACCACTCACTCATTCACCAACCCACCTACTCACTAACTCACTGACTTACCAACCGACCCACTCACCCACCAAACCACTCAGCCACCCACCCACCCACCCACTCACCTACCCACCCACCCACTCACCCACCCACCCACCCAACCACCCAGCCACTCACCCACCCACTCACTCACCCACTCACCCAGCCACCCACCCAACCAACGACTCACTCACCCAACCACTCACTCAATCACCCACTCACCCTCGCTGGTGAGTTTGGTGAGCACGAATATTAGGTAGTTGTTGAAGTCTGGGTACTGATTGAGCTGCTCCAGTTTCTAGAGGTGGGAGACGGAAGGAATCATGAACATCACCATCATGAACATCACCATCACCACCATCATCATCATCACCACCATGAACATCACCATCACCACCATGAACATCACCATCACCACCATCATCACCACCATGAACATCACCATCACCACCATGAACATCACCATCACCACCATGAACATCATCATCACCACCATCATCATCATCACCACCATGAACATCACCATCACCACCATGAACATCACCATCACCACCATCATCACCACCACCATCGCCATCACCGCCATCATCATCACCACCACCACCATCACCACCATCACCACCACCACCACCGCCGCCATCATCATCGTCATCATCACCATCACCGTCATCACCACCATCATCATCTTCACCACCATCATTATTATCACCATCATCACATCACCATCACCACTATCATCACATCACCATCACCACTATCATCATCATCACCATCATCATCACCATCATCATCATCACCACCATCATCATCATCACCACCATCATCATCACCATCATTATCATCATTACCATCATTATTATCACCATTATCATCACATCACCATAACCACTATCATCATCACCACCATCACATCACCAACATCACGACCACCATCATCACCACCACCATCATCATCACAAGCATCACTATCATCATCACGATCACCACCACCATCATCACCACCACCATCATCATCATCACCACCACCATCATCATCACCACCACCATCACCATCACCACAACCACCACCATCATCATCATCACATCACCACTATAACCATCACCACCACCATCATCATCACATCACCGTCATCATCACATCATCACTAAAATCATCACTACCATCACCAACATCATCATCACCACTACCACCACCACAGTGGTGAGAGTGATTAATGGTGAGTGTAGTGGTGAAGGCGTAGTGGTGAGTGGTGGTGAGGGTCGCGGTGAGCGTGGTGAGTGTAGTGGTGAGTGTAATGAGTGAAATGGTGAGTGTAGTGAGTGTAGTGCTGAGTGTAATGGTGAGTGTAGTGGTGAGTGTAATGAGTGAAATGGTGAGTGTAGTGAGTGTAGTGGTGAGTGTAGTGAGTTAAGTGGTGAATGTAGTGGTGAGTGTAGTGGTGAGTGTAATGAGTGAAATGGTGAGTGTAGTGAGTGTAGTGGTGAGTGTAGTGAGTTAAGTGGTGAATGTAGTGGTGAGTGAAGTGGTGAGTGTAATGAGTGAAATGGTGAGTGTAGTGAGTTAAGTGGTGAGTGTAGTGAGTGTAGTGGTGAGTGTAGTAGTGAGTGTAGTGAGTTAAGTGGTGAGTGTAGTGGTAAGTTAAGTGGTGAGTGTAGTGAGTTAAGTGGTGAGTGTAGTGAGTGTAGTGGTGAGTGTAGTAGTGAGTGTAGTGAGTTAAGTGGTGAGTGTAGTGGTGAGTGTAGTGGTGAGTTTAGTGAGTGTAGTGGTGAGTGTGGTGAGTTTAGTGAGTGTAGTGGTGAGTGTAATGAGTGAAATGGTGAGTGTAGTGAGTTAAGTGGTGAGTGTAATGAGTGAAATGGTGAGTGTAGTGAGTTAAGTGGTGAGTGTAGTGAGTGTAGTGGTGAGTGTAGTAGTGAGTGTAGTGAGTTAAGTGGTGAGTGTAGTGGTGAGTGTAGTGGTGAGTGTAGTGAGTTAAGTGGTGAGTGTAGTGAGTTAAGTGGTGAGTGTAGTGGTGAGTGTAGTGAGTTAAGTGGTGAGTGTAGTGAGTGTAGTGGTGAGTGTAGTGAGTGAAATGGTGAGTGTAGTGAGTTAAGTGGTGAGTGTAGTGGTGAGTGTAGTGAGTTAAGTGGTGAGTGTAGTGGTGAGTGTAGTGAGTTAAGTGGTGAGTGTAGTGGTGAGTGTAGTGAGTGAAGTGGTGAGTGTAGTGGTGAGTGGAGTGAGTGAAATGGTGAGTGTAGTGAGTTAAGTGGTGAGTGTAGTGAGTGAAGTAGTGAGTTTAGTGAGTGTAGTGGTGAGCGTAGTGGTGAGTGTAGTGAGTTAAGTGGTGAGTTAAGTGGTGAGTTAAGTGGTGAGTTTAGTGAGTAAAGTGAGTGAAGTGGTGAGTGTAGTGGTGAGTTAAGTGGTGAGTGAAGTGGTGAGAGTAGTGAGTGTAGTGGTGAGTGTGGTGAGTGTAGTGGTGAGTGTGGTGAGTGTAGTGGTGAGTTTAGTGAGTGTAGTGGTGAGTAGTGGTGAGTTTAGTGGTGAGTGTAGTGGTGAGTGAAGTAGTGAGTTTAGTGGTGAGTGAAGTGGTGAGTTTAGTGAGTGTAGTGGTGAGTGTAGTGGTGAGTGTAGTGGTGAGTGAAGTGGTGAGTGAAGTGGTGAGTGTGGTGAGTGTAGTGGTGAGTGTAGTGAGTGAAATGGTGAGTGTAGTGAGTTAAGTGGTGAGTGTAGTGGTGAGTGAAGTGGTGAGAGTAGTGAGTTAAGTGGTGAGTTTAGTGAGTGTAGTGGTGAGTGTGGTGAGTGTAGTGGTGAGTGTGGTGAGTGTAGTGGTGAGTGTAGTGGTGAGTGTGGTGAGTGTAGTGGTGAGTTAAGTGGTGAGTGTAGTGGTGAGTGTAGTGGTGAGTGTAGTGGTGAGTTTTAGTGAGTGTAGTGGTGAGTGTGGTGAGTGTAGTGGTGAGTGTAGTGGTGAGTTTTGTGAGTGTCGTGGTGAGTGTAGTGGTGAGTGTAGTGGTGAGTTTTGTGAGTGTCGTGGTGAGTTAAGTGGTGAGTTAAGTGGTGAGTGTAGTGGTGAGTTAAGTGGTGAGTGTAGTGGTGAGTGTGGTGAGTGTAGTGGTGAGTGTAGTGGTGAGTGTGGTGAGTGTAGTGGTGAGTGTAGTGGTGAGTTTTGTGAGTGTCGTGGTGAGTGTAGTGGTGAGTGTGGTGAGTGTAGTGGTGAGTTAAGTGGTGAGTGTAGTGGTGAGTGTGGTGAGTGTAGTGGTGAGTGTAGTGGTGAGTTTTAGTGAGTGTAGTGGTGAGTGTGGTGAGTGTAGTGGTGAGTGTAGTGGTGAGTGTAGTGGTGAGTTTTGTGAGTGTCGTGGTGAGTGTCGTGGTGAGTGTAGTGGTGAGTTAAGTGGTGAGTTAAGTGGTGAGTGTAGTGGTGAGTTAAGTGGTGAGTGTAGTGGTGAGTGTAGTGGTGAGTGTGGTGAGTGTAGTGGTGAGTGTAGTGGTGAGTGTAGTGGTGAGTGTAGTGGTGAGTGTAGTGGTGAGTGTAGTGGTGAGTTTTGTGAGTGTCGTGGTGAGTGTAGTGGTGAGTGTGGTGAGTGTAGTGGTGAGTGTGGTGAGTGTAGTGGTGAGTGTGGTGAGTGTAGTGGTGAGTGTGGTGAGTGTAGTGGTGAGTGTAGTGGTGAGTGTAGTGAGTGTAGTGGTGAGTGTGGTGGTGAGTTTTGTGAGTGTCGTGGTGAGTGTAGTGGTGAGTTAAGTGGTGAGTTAAGTGGTGAGTGTAGTGGTGAGTTAAGTGGTGAGTGTAGTGGTGAGTGTGGTGAGTGTAGTGGTGAGTGTAGTGGTGAGTGTAGTGGTGAGTGTGGTGAGTGTAGTGGTGAGTTTTGTGAGTGTCGTGGTGAGTGTAGTGGTGAGTGTGGTGAGTGTAGTGGTGAGTGTGGTGAGTGTAGTGGTGAGTGTGGTGAGTGTAGTGGTGAGTTTTGTGAGTGTAGTGGTGAGTGTAGTGGTGAGTGTAGTGGTGAGTGTAGTGAGTGTAGTGGTGAGTGTGGTGAGTGTAGTGGTGAGTGTAGTGGTGAGTGTAGTGGTGAGTGTAGTGGTGAGTGTGGTGAGTGTAGTGGTGAGTGTAGTGGTGAGTTTTGTGAGTGTCGTGGTGAGTGTAGTGGTGAGTGTGGTGAGTGTAGTGGTGAGTGTAGTGGTGAGTTTTGTGAGTGTCGTGGTGAGTGTAGTGGTGAGTGTGGTGAGTGTAGTGGTGAGTGTGGTGAGTGTAGTGAGTGTAGTGGTGAGTGTAGTGAGTTAAGTGGTGAGTGTAGTGGTGAGTGAAGTGGTGAGAGTAGTGAGTTAAGTGGTGAGTGTAGTGGTGAGTGTGGTGGTGAGTTTTAGTGAGTGTAGTGGTAACAATGGGGGATGGGTGATTCTGAGGTAAATTGTTAACACACATTTTTCGCAAAGCGGTGAACTTAATCGCCTTTAGTAGACAGTAAAAAAAACAAAGTGAACTTTCTACCACTGCTCCTTTTTATATTTCTTACAACGTTGCACGAGGTAACATTTATATTTTTTTATTTAAAAATAAAAATAATTTGGCGGGAATTCAACCGTTCGCGGCTTCCACTCAAAGATGCGCGATTTTTTTTTAAAAAAAAAACATTTTTGTCAAGTTTGACCCCCCGTATTTTAGTCAGGAACGTCCTTTAAAGAGTTTTTGTTTGTTTGTTTGTTAATTTAAACATTAAAAAAATGACGTTATAGTAGCACACACAAGAGGAGTCGTCGCTATCCCATCACCGGAGGCCTTAAAAGGAACACAAAATCGCCTCGCAAACGTTCTTCTTAGTCGGCCCTTCGGTTGACTGAGCTCCCGAAGCGTCGTTCCAAATCGATTAAATCGATCGGGAGCGAGAAATATATATATAAAAATGAAAATCGACTGCAAGGGCCTCGTAAGTCGGCGTCGAGAAGCCTCGGGCTCGCCTAGATTTGTCGGCCGGGTTACCCCCCTCAAGCTCCGCGGCCCACGCCGCTTCGCCACCCCCCCCTCTCTCTCGAGGGTTGAGGGGAGGGAGTGAGGGGAGGGGCTGGAGGGGTTAGGAGGGGGGGAGGGGCTGGGGGGGGGTTGAGGGGAGGGGCTGGGGGGGGTTAAGCGGTGGTTGAGGGGCGGGGCTGTGAGGGTAAGGGGCGGGGCTGTGGGGGTGAGGGGCGGGGCCGTGGGGGTGAGGAGCGGGGCTATTTGGGTGAGGGGCGGGGCTGTGGGGGTGAGGGGCGGGGCTGTGTGGGGGTGGTGGTGGTTGAGGCCTAGCTCAGGCTTCGTGTAGGCCTCGAGGCTTTTCCCGCATTTAAAAAAAAAGGCTAAACAATTACAAATTAAACATTACAATTAAACAGTAGCATTACAATTAATCATTACAAGTAAACATTAACATTAAAATGAAACATTAACATTGCAATTAAATGAAACATTACAATGAAGCATTACAATGAAGCATTACAATGAGACATTACATATTTCAATTAAGCAAAATCATGTGGCGAGGACTTGATCGTGAGGTGTTGGTGAGCGAGTGAATGGATGAGTGGCTGGGTGAGTGGCTGGGTGAGTGGGTGAGTGAGTGGCTGGGTGAGTGGGTGGCTGGGTGAGTGGGTGGCTGAGTGAGTGGGTGGCTGAGTGAGTGGCTGGCTGAGTGGCTGGGTGAGTGGCTGGGTGAGTGGCTGGCTGAGTGAGTGAGTGAGTGGCTGGGTGAGTGAGTGAGTGGCTGGGTGAGTGGCTGGGTGAGTGGGTGGCTGAGTGAGTGGCTGGCTGAGTGGCTGGCTGAGTGAGTGGGTGAGTGGCTGGAAGAGTGAGTGGCTGGGTGAGTGGCTGGGTGAGTGGCTGGATGAGTGAGTGGCTGGCTGAGTGGCTGGGTGAGTGAGTGGCTGGGTGAGTGAGTGGGTGGGCGAGTGGCTGGGTGAGTGAGTGGCTGGGTGAGTGAGTGGGTGGGCGAGTGGCTGGGTGAGTGAGTGGCTGAGTGAGTGAGTGAGTGGGTGAGTGGCTGGGTGGGTGGCTGGGTGAGTGAGTGGCTGGGTGAGTGAGTGGCTGGGTGAGTGGCTGGGTGAGTGGCTGGGTGGGTGGCTGGGTGAGTGAGTGGCTGGGTGAGTGAGTGGATGAGTGAGTAAGTGGCTGAGTGAGTGGCTGGGCGAGTGGCTGAGTGAGTGGCTGGGTGAGTGAGTGGCTGGGTGAGTGGCTGAGTGAGTGGCTGAGTGAGTGGCTGGGTGAGAGTGGCTGGGTGAGAGTGGCTGGGTGAGAGTGGCTGGGTGAGAGTGGCTGGGTGAGAGTGGCTGGGTGAGTGGCTGGATGAATGAGTGGCTGAGCGAGTGAGTGGGTGGCTGAGTGAGTGGTGGGTGGCTGAGTGAGTGAGATGCTGGGTGAGTGGCTGAGTGAGTGGCTGGCTGAGTGAGTGAGTGGATGAGTGAGTGAGTGGCTGGGTGAGTGAGTGGCTGGGTGAGTGAGTGGCTGAGTGAGTGAGTGGCTGGCTGAGTGGCTGGGTGAGAGTGGCTGGGTGAGTGGCTGGGTGAGTGGCTGGATGAGTGAGTGGCTGAGCGAGTGAGTGGGTGGCTGAGTGAGTGGTGGGTGGCCGAGTGAGTGAGATGCTGGGTGAGTGGCTGAGTGAGTGGCTGGCTGAGTGAGTGAGTGGATGAGTGAGTGAGTGGCTGGGTGAGTGAGTGGCTGAGTGAGTGAGTGGCTGGCTGAGTGGCTGGCTGAGTGAGTGGCTGGGTGAGAGTGGCTGGGTGAGTGGCTGGGTGAGTGGCTGGATGAGTGAGTGGCTGAGCGAGTGAGTGGGTGGCTGAGTGAGTGGTGGGTGGCTGAGTGAGTGAGATGCTGGGCGAGTGGCTGGGTGAGTGAGTGGCTGGGTGAGTGAGTGGCTGGGTGAGTGAGTGGATGAGTGAGCGAGTGGCTGGGTGAGCGAGTGGCTGGGTGAGTGAGTGGCTGGGTGAGTGAGTGGCTGGGTGAGTGAGTGGCTGGGTGAGTGGATGGGTGAGTGGCTGGGTGAGTGAGTGGCTGGGTGAGTGAGTGGCTGGGTGAGTGGATGGGTGAGTGAGTGAGTGGCTGGGTGAGTGAGTGGCTGGGTGAGTGGCTGGGTGAGTGGGTGAGTGGCTGGGTGAGTGGCTGGGTGAGTCACCTGCTGAACAGTACGCTGGGTGGCTGTATCAGGCGACTGAGATTCGCGCAGCAGCTGCAGAATCTGCTGCAAGCCTTGTTCATCAGGCCTCCACTCACAAGACATCCTCCTACCACTAGTTAGCACCACTAGTTAGCAGTACGAGTGGTAGTACTGGCGAGTACTACTAGTTAGTACTAGTTAATACTTCCAGTTAGTAGTAGTACTGGTAGTACTAGTCCGAGTGCTCGCTAGTAGTACTGATGGTATTAGTCCTAGCGAGCACTAGTTAGTAGTAGTACTAGTTAGTAGTAGTACTAGTTAGTAGTAGTGCTAGTTAGTAGTGTCCTACTGGTTAGAACAACCAGTATCTCTCTCCTCTCGTCTCTCAGGCTCTGTCTGTCTGTGTCTCTGTCTGTCTCAGTCTGTCTCAAGCTCTGTCTGTCTGTGTCTCAGTCAGTCTCTGTCTGTCTCAGTCTGTCTGTCTCTGTCTGTCTATCTCCGTCTGTCTCAATCTCTGTCTGTCTCAGTCTGTCTGCCTCTGTCTGTCTTCCTCTGTCTGTCTTCCTCAGTCTGTCTGTCTATCTCAGTCTGTCTATTTCAGTCTGTCTATTTCAGTCTGTCTATCTCTGGCTGTCTCTGTGTCTATCTCTGGCTGTCTCTGTGTCTATCTCTGGCTGTTTCTGTGTCTATCTCTGGCTGTCTCTGTGTCTATCTCTGGCAGTCTCTGTGTCTATCTCTGGCTGTCTGTCTCTGTGTCTCTCTGTAGTTGTCTCTGTCTCTCTGTAGCTGTGTCTCTCTGTAGTTGTGTCTCTGTGTCTCTCTAGCTGTGTCTATCTCTGGTTGTCTCTCTGTAGGCCTCACACGTGAGGCCTACAGACCCCGATCGGCGAATCTCCGCTAAGCGCTCCGTCTCTCTCTCTCTCCCCTAGTCTCTCTATAGTTGTCTCTGTCTGTCTCTCTGTAGCTGTGTCTCTCTGCAGTTGTGTCTCTGTGTCTCTCTAGCTGTGTCTATCTCTGGTTGTCTCTCTGTAGGCCTCACACGTGAGGCCTACAGACCCCGATCGGCGAATCTCCGCTAAGCGCTCCGTCTCTCTCTCTCTCCCCTAGTCTCTCTATAGTTGTCTCTGTCTGTCTCTCTGTAGCTGTGTCTCTCTGCAGTTGTGTCTCTGTGTCTCTCTAGCTGTGTCTATCTCTGGTTGTCTCTCTGTAGGCCTCACACGTGAGGCCTACAGACCCCGATCGGCGAATCTCCGCTAAGCGCTCCGTCTCTCTCTCTCTCTCTCCCCTAGTCTCTCCCCTAGTCTCTGTCTGTCTCTCTCTGTAGCTGTGTCTCTCTGTAGTTGTGTCTCTGTGTCTCTCTAGCTGTGTCTATCTCTGGTTGTCTCTCTGTAGGCCTCACACGTGAGGCCTCCAGACCCCGATCGGCGAATCTCCGCTAAGCGCTCCGTCTCTCTCTCTCTCTCCCCTAGTCTCTGTCTGTCTCTCTGTAGCTGTGTCTCTCTGCAGTTGTGTCTCTGTAGCTGTGTCTATCTCTGGTTGTCTCTGTCTCTCTGTAGTCCAGACGTGAGGCCTACAGACCCCGATCGGCGAATCTCCGCTAAGCGCTCCGTCTCTCTCTCTCTCTCCCCTAGTCTCTCTATAGTTGTCTCTGTCTGTCTCTCTGTAGCTGTGTCTCTCTGTAGTTGTGTCTCTGTGTCTCTCTAGCTGTGTCTATCTCTGGTTGTCTCTCTGTAGGCCTCACACGTGAGGCCTACAGACCCCGATCGGCGAATCTCCGCTAAGCGCTCCGTCTCTCTCTCTCTCTCTCCCCTAGTCTCTCCCCTAGTCTCTGTCTGTCTCTCTGTAGCTGTGTCTCTCTCTGCAGTTGTGTCTCTGTCTCTCTGTAGCTGTCTACCGGGACCTGTCCCAATGCAGACGACGCGAATTCTGAGAAGCGCTGCCTCGTCGTTCTCTCCCAGGGACTATTGCGACTCGCGCCGCGCGCTGATTGGTCGAGCGGCGCGATGATTGACGGGGAAGTGGGGTGGGCGTGGTGTGGCTTACGGCGCGAGGCGTGAACGGGAAAGGGCGGTGATTGGTCGAGCAGCGTTTGATTGACGGGGAAGTGGGGTGGGCGTGGTGTGGCGATGGCGTGGGGCGTGAATGGAGGCTGGTGATTGGTCGAGCGGCGATGATTGACGGGGCGGGGGATGGTAGCGGGAGCGCGGTGGGGGGGGGTGTGGCTACGGCGTGGGGCGTGAATGGAGGGTGGTGATTGGTCGAGCGGCGATGATTGACGGGGCGGGGGATGGGATGGTAGCGGGAGCGCGGTGTGGGGGGGTGTGGCTACGGCGTGGGGCGTGAACGGAGGCTGGTGATTGGTCGAACGGCGCTGATTGACGGGGCGGGGGATGGTAGCGGGAGTGCGGTGGGGGGGTGTGGCTACAGCGTGGGGCGTGAACCGAGGGTGGTGATTGGTCGAGCGGCGATGATTGACGGGGCGGGGGATGGTAGCGGGAGCGCCGTGGGGGGGGCGTGGCTACAGCGTGGGGCGTGAACCGAGGGTGGTGATTGGTCCAGCGGCAATGATTGACGGGGCGGGGGATGGTAGCGGGAGCACGGTGGGGGAGGTGTGGCTACGGCGTGGGGCGTGAACGGAAGGCGATGATTGGTCGAGGTGGGCGGGGTGGCTGCGGTGTGGGCGTGTAAGGAGAGCGCTGATTGGTCGAGCGGCGACGATTGACGGGTCGGGGTGGGCGGGGTGGCTACAGCGTGGGCGTGAACGGAAGGCGATGATTGGTCGAGGTGGGCGGGGTCGCTGCGGTGTGGGCGTGACATGAGAGTGCTGATTGGTCGAATGGCGATGATTGACGGGTCGGGGTGGGCGGGGTGGCAACAGCGTGGGCGTGAACGGAAGGCGATGATTGGTAGTGGTGGGCGGGGTGGCTACGGTGTGGGCGTGAATAGAGAGCGATGATTGGTCGAGCGGCGATGATTGACGGGTCGGGGTAGGCGGGGTGGCTATAGTGTGGGCGTGAACGGAGGGCGATGATTGGTCGAGCGGCGTTGATTGACGGTTTGTCGTTGCTTGGGGGGAGGGGGTGTGGGGGGGGTGGCTTCGCGGGGGAGGACGTGGAATTGAGATCGCTGATTGGTCCCGGCGGAGTTGATTGACGGGCGAGGCGCCTCCGGTCGTCGTGAGCATCGAACGCGCTGATTGGTTTAGCCACAGGGATGGGCGTGAGAGGAAAGCGGCGAAGATTCGGTTGGGTGACAAACGAGCGCGCCGATTGGTTGAACGTCACGAGGTGGGCGTGATCGAAGGAGGGATGAATGACGGGGGCAACGCGTTACGTCATCATCCGGTGGACCGGAAGATGACGTCACGCAGCTGTAGCTCCACCCACCCTAAGATGAACCTCAACGCTGATTGGCTTCCGCTCGCCCACTGTGATAACAAAGCTCAACGCTGAGTGGCTAAAAGAGCGTTTGGGAAAGTTTATTGAGAAAATTCTCACGGACGTTTCGGCCACAACACAAGGGGCCTTCATCAGGTGAAGGGACCAGACTGTCTAGAGGACAGCGCTGGAGTGAAACGCAGCCAAGCTCAGATCGCGGACCTCTAAGCTTGTGTGAGAAGAAACAGCGCGCCTTGACAAAGGAATTAGCATAGAATTTAGCATTGAAATAGCTGAGTGATTAGCTTGTGACTGGTCACAGAAATGGCTACGTTAAAGTCAGAGCATACACATCCACAGAGGCACCTAGTACAAATCAAACAGGAGAATTTAGCATTGAAATAGCTGAGTGATTAGCTTATAAAAAGTCAAAGCCTACACATCCACAGAGGCACCTGGTACAAATCAAACAGGAGAATTTAGCATTGAAATAGCTGAGTGATTAGCTTGTGACTGGTCACAGAAATGTCCATGTTAAAGTCAAAGCCTACACATCCACAGAGAGACCCCTTGACAAAGGAATTAGCATGGAATTTAGCATTGAAATAGCTGAGTGATTAGCTTGTGACTGGTCACAGAAATGGCTATGTTAAAGTCAAAGCCTACACATCCACAGAGGCAGCTAGTACAAATCAAACAGGAGACTTTACCTTTGAAATAGCTGAGTGATTAGCTTGTGACTCGTCACAGAAATGTCCATGTTAAAGTCAAAGCATACACATCCACAGAGACACCCCTTGACAAAGGAATTAGCATAGAATTTAGCATTGAAATAGCTGAATGATTAGCTTGTGACTGGTCACAGAAATGGCTATGTTAAAGTCAAAGCATACACATCCACAGAGGCACCTAGTACAAATCAACCAGGAGAATTTAGCATTGAAATAGCTGAGTGATTAGCTTTGTGACTGGTCACAGAAATGGCTATGTTAAAGTCAAAGCCTACACATCCACAGAGACACCCCTTGACAATGGAATTAGCATAGAATTTAGCATTGAAATAGCTGAGTGATTAGCTTTGTGACTGGTCACAGAAATGGCTATGCTAAAGTCAGAGCATACACATCCACAGAGGCACCTAGTACAAATCAAACAGGAGAATTTAGCATTGAAATAGCTGAGTGATTAGAATTTAGCATTTTAATTGGCGGACTTGGCATGATGAACGGTGTAGAGGTGGTGTACATGCGGGTGGACAAGCCGGTTGGCGAGGGGGAAGGGGGAGTTTACCTATTGATGGTGTGAAAAGGGAATTTTTAAGAGCTGCGAAAGTTTGGGGTTCCACTACTTGAAAAAATATACTGTACCATTGAAAATTAGTTTAATGTTCGGTTCGATTTAGAACATCTTTCCAATGGTTGCTTAATTTGAAACCATCCTCTCGGTTGAAATTGTGTCTGTGTTTGTAGATCTGAATTGCCTCGTGGACAAATCTCTGATAAAAAAAAACCCGTGGGTTTGCAGAGAACCTTGGTGTCGGAGAAAATTATATCGTGATCACCCACAGCGTTGTAACAACGATCAGCCACGGCAGAAGAATTCGTTTTGCCGTGTTTCAAATCTGATTTGTGCTCGCAAATTCGGTCAGAGACATGTCGCTTTGTCTCCCCGATGTAGCAGTCACCGCAGGTACAACTCAATTTGTAAACCCCGGGGTACTGTAAGTCAGGAATGACATCCTTCACGGATGGGATCAGATCACGAATTTTGTGTACTGTATTGAACCGGACCTGGATCTTGTGTTTGTTTAGAATTTTTGAAATATTTTTAGTAGCGCCTGCTATATATGGTAGTGTGATGGTTTTGACCGGAGTATCAAGTGGTTGTTTCTGTATGGAGGGAGAAACAGCTTGGCGGATGGTACGGTCAGAGTATCCATTCCTTTTGAGGGCCAGGTGTACATGTTTTAATTCACTGGTCAGGTGGTGTTGGTCCGAAATGCAATGAGCCCTGTGGTATAACGTTTTGATGAGAGAATTCTTTTGGGCTGGTTGGTGGTGGGAATCAGGCTTCAAGTAGGAATCTGTGTGGGTGGGTTTCCTGTAGACAGAATGCCCCAATGAGCCATCAGGTCTCCTCTCAAACAGAACATCCAAGAATGGCAGCTTGCCATCTTTCTCCACTTCCATGGTGAATTTGATGGCGGGATGTCTGGAATTGATGTGGTGTAGGAAAAGGTTCAGAGCTGGGAGGCCATGTGGCCAAATGACGAAAAGTGGCATCCACATATCTCTTCCACAGGGAAGGTCTGAGGGTGGAAGTCTGGATGGCGTCCGATTCAAATTTCTCCATGAAAATATTGGCTATGACTGGTGGCAAGGTGGATCCCATGGGGGTACCCTCATGGTATACTCTCCAATCAGCTGAGCAACACAACTATACGTATTTGTATATCACAGAGCCGTATGGTGAACAATGGTGGTTGTTTTGATTTAAGGCTTTCGTGACTGCAGTAATTCATATTCTTAGTTTTTTTTCGGTAAAGTCACCACGTTGAAGGGAAACGACAAAATAATAAAAAATATATAAAACAATAAAAAAATTATTCTCACGACGTTTCGACCATAACTCAAACGGTCATCTTCAGGTGTGTTGGTTCGCATAAATTTATTTTTAAACGGCGCATTTATTTATTTATAAAAAAAATGTTAGCGCCACGCGCAGCGATTTGGCAGTTTATTTAGGACTAGTCCATCTATATTCTGAAAAGAGGAGGGGGGAGACATTTATTTATTTAATTTTATAAATAATTTTATAAATAAATAAATGCGCCGTTTAAAAATAAATTTATGCAAACCAACACACCTGAAAACGACCGTTTGAGTTATGGTCGAAACGTCGTGAGACATTTTTTTATTATTGTTTTATATATTTTTTTTATTATTTTGTTGTTGTTTCCCTTCAGCGTGGTGACTTTACCGAAAAAAACTAAGACTAATGGTGGTTGTTCTTCCTCTCAACGCCAGCACCTCTCAACACCAGCACCATGGACAGCGAACGAGCCCCGTTCAGACGGACGAGTCAATCCATGCTCGGAACGGAGGACGGGGGAGAGAAACAGCCACCATGTGCTGTCATACTCCATGGTATAAACCGTAACATTAAACCGTGGTGTGAGAGGTATTAAGAGTCAATGCCGGCGAAAGAGCTGCGGTCTGAAGGTCATCGTAAAACATACAACTAATTAAGAACAGAAATGGTTTAAAACATCTTTAAAAAAATTTCGTCTCCCCCCTCCTCTTTTCAAAATATAGATGGACTAGTCCTGGGTAAACTGCCAAATCGCTGCGCTAACGGTTTTATAAATAAATAAATAAATGCGCCGTTTAAAAATAAATTCATGCAAACCAACACACCTAAAGATGACCGTTTGAGTTATGGTCGAAACGTCGTGAGAATGTTATTATTGTTTTATATATATTTCATATTATTTTGTTGTTTCTCTTCAACGTGGTGACTTTACCGAAAAAAACTAAGAATAGTCCATCTATATTCTGAAAAGAAGAGGGGGGAGACATTTATTTATTTTTTATATTTATTTAACTAAGAATAGTCCATCTATATTCTGAAAAGAAGAGGGGGGAGACATTTATTTATTTTTTATATTTATTTTTTATAAATAAATAAATGCGCCGTTTAAAAATAAATTTATGCAAACCAACACACCTGAAGATGACCGTTTGTGTTATGGTCGAAACGTCGTGAGAATTTTTTTATTATTTTATATATATTTCATATTATTTTGTTGTTTCTCTTCAACGTGGTGACTTTACCGAAAACAACTAAGAGTATGAATTACCGCAGTCACGAAAGCTTTAAATCAAAATTTAAATCAAAATCTTTCCAATGGTTACTAAGCCAGAATCCATCTTCTCGGTTGAAATTGTCCCTGCGTTTGTATTTGTGGATGGCCTCATGAACGAATCTCTCATGGTAGCCGCTTGGCTTGCAAAGTACCTCTGTCTTGGAGAAGTCTGACCGCATCCGTGAACGTAAAGCAGACTTGAAACACGGTAGGACGAACTCTTCTGCCGTGGCAGATCACTGAATTATAATTCAGGGGGGTTCACAGAGTAGAGAAGGGAGGGAATGACCGTGGTCGAGAAGACCTGAAGCTTAGTGCGGAGCGACAGACCAGGTAGCTTCCACACAGCGTTACGCAACCGATGAAAAGATATTGCCGCTCGACTGATTCGGAGTGAGACCTCTGCTGTTAAACTGGAGCCAGTCATAAGCACACTGCCCAGGTATGGGAAACTCTCCACTCTCTCCACAACTGCCCCATCACCGATTGGGAGTTGTGGAGAGGGTGGAGTGTCCGATGGTACAAGTCTACTCGTCCATGTTCTTTTTAAGGAAGGATATGGTAGCAATAATGTACGATCAGTAGTGAACATCGTAGCAATAAGGGACGATCAGTCATCTTTAGTATATCAGGTCTTTATTGTTCTGCAAGTATCTTAACTTTCAAACTCGTAGAAACCCATGCACGCCCCTGTGTGTATGCACACTGCTGTATAGACAATCGTGTTTGGATGCACACTTGTGTGTGTGTATGTCTACTCGTCTGTACGATCAGTCATCTTTAAAAACAAATCAGGTCTTTATTAATCTGCAACAATATCGCATCAAAATCTTTATTAATTCGCTTTAACATAGCCATTTCTGTGACCAGTCACAAGCTAATCACTCAGCTTCTTCAAACAGTTAAGGAACTAGGAAAACAATTTCAGCTTCATTAATTCAACAGTCATAAAATAATCTCAAAATCAAACACGCGAACGTCTTAATCCTTCCCAATTGACGTCCTTGTCGACTGAAGCCATTCGTCCACAAGTCCAAGCCATCAAACACAGGAACAACGAACGCACATTCTGAAACCGACACTTTGAAGTAGTTTTTTTTTTACAATAAAGAAAATTAAAGAAATTGTTAAAAATATAGGGCAACGTTATGATCGTAGTCTTTCTCCAACTTTAACTCAACAAGACCACTTAGTCACGAGAGTAAAATCAGGAATTGGACCACCTCACAACCACTGTGCATCACACAACATCAACAAGTATTCCGATATGACTACAAAGCACCACCTTAACGTGACGAAGTCTAGAAGGGACTTCAACACTCAAGTAGCTGTGAGAAGATAACAACACGTGGCACCTTCTACCATAAACACCACACATTTAACAGTGCCGATGATACAACCACCGGACGAAGCAACGCATCTATCGAAGTATAAAATTGTTGTCATCCTGAAATAAGTGAACACTTCTTGAACGTAAAAGGAAGACCTTTTTTCCCGAACACATCATAGAGCATTCACAACATCACTCGAGCTTGGAGTACTGAAAATCACGGAAGTAATAATGTGTACCTTATTGATTGATCTAACAGAGACACAAACATGCACATTCCAGGACTTCAAGAGTTAACAGAAGTACTCAATACTTTGACCCTCCAGCCACTCCAGCAGCAATTTCTCAGTATCCACCTGCATGAGGTCGATAGAGGAATTGTGGTCAGGGCTCATTACATCCAGCAATCTCTCAGGATCAAACTGCATGAGGTCGAAAGTGGAATTGTTGCCAGGAGTCATTGCATCCACTACATCCAGGCATCTCTCAGGATTCACCTGTATAGGGTCGACAGATTCATTTTGTTCAGGACTCACTGCAGCACTTTGCATTTCACCTTTTGATCTAACTTCCCTCTCATTGCGGATTTTCGCATGCTAGTTTCGGGGTGATGACCGTGTCCTCTCCAACAGAGACCAATTGAATGGCTTCTCGCCCGTGTGTGTTTTCTGGTGTTTGTTAAGAGTTGATTTCCGTGAAAATGCCTTCACAAACACAGAACAATGGAATGGCTTCTCGCCTGTATGGGTTTTTTGGTGACTGTGAAGATTTGATTTCCGTAAAAATTCCTTCCCACACACAGAGCAATTGAATGGCTTCTCACCCGAGTGTGTTTTCTTGTGAGTGTTAAGATTTGATTTCCGTAAAAATTCATTCCCACACACAGAGCAATTGAATGGCTTCTCGCCCGTGTGTGTTTTCTGGTGTCTGTTAAGAGTCTAACCGAGACCCAGTAAACGCCCCGTGAGACGGACTACACACGCGATTACCAGGTTATCCACTCACAAAGACACTTACTTGTTGATGCACGGTGTATCGATGACCCTGTAACCCGTCTGAAGAGATCGCCACGAACTCTCCCGAAGCAAAGTCGCCAACCAGTCGCCAAGCAATCGTGCTCGCCAGGCTGAGTCTCGCAGGAGAAGGGAAATCTGCAGAGCGATGAGTTGAGCGTCTATCCTCAGGAAAATTCCTCTCCAAATGATCTTGAGGTCTGATTTTAAGCCCCTTATAACTCCCCTCTAGCATCCAAATCCTTTGTTCTCGACTTGGCCTATCATGGACTTTGCATTCAATTGTTAATTTTTACATTAACAATCCTCATATAAATCAACGTAGCTTAGCTAATCTGGCCATTGTAATTAGCCCTTAATAAGTATGTACATCCCACTGAATAATTGTACACTTCCGTTTGAATAAAGATGTACATCTCCATGCATAATTCCGTGCTTCCTGTTAATTTGCTAATATTCACCCCGCAATGTCCTCTACACTGCTGCAAGTTATTCAGGATTTAATAGCGACACACATTCTGAAGTCTCAAAATAAAGATTTCGAGTTTGATTTGGACTAAGAGGTGCAAATTTATACCGTACTGACTTTGAGTCTTAAATATATTTAAGGACACTCGTGTTGAGCGGGGTGTTTCTAGAAAACGAGGTTGTTATGTTCTAATTTCCAGCATAAACGTTGTGTAATCATCTGAATGGTTTAGTTTGTAAGCGTGGTTTAATATAATGTACCGCAAAAAATCAATCATCAATATTTAGTCTTCAGTGTGTTTGTATACTCTTGTGTATGTGTTCAATATTTTGGACGTTTTTTAATTAATATTTTGAACGTGTTTTTGTTACGGGAACTGCATTGAATATGGAGGTGTTACCAGCACCTCGCACCCGTCCAGAGACCTCGTGAGCCGCTGTGGTGGCTACGAGACCTCCCTCAAGGACATTGCTCTTATCCACCACAGCGTTACCGACCGGGAACGCCGATGAGGTTGAAGGTTGTTAATACAGAACTTTATTCGTGGCAGGGGAATGCCAAACAACATGGAGTGGCTCTTCTTCTGAGAATGAAAACCCGTATACGTATGTGTGTATGTATGCAGGTACAATCGTGCGTGTTCGCAGTGGAACGCAATCCTTGTGTTCGTACACTGCTGTGTATGTACACTGCGTTGTATGTCTGTATGTATGTACACCCCTGTATATGCACACTCGTGTGTGAATGCACACCGCTGTATATAATTATAAACAGTCGTGTTAGGATGCACACTCTTGTGTGAATGTCTACTCGTCCATGTTCTTTTAAAGGAATGACATGGTAACAATAATGTACGATCAGTCATCTTTAAGAACACAAATCAGGTCTTCATTAATCTTTATTAATTATTTTTTTCAAACAGTTAAAGAACTATGAAAATAATTTAACTTTCATTAATTCAACAGTCATGAAATATTCTCAAAATCAAACACGTGAACGTCTTAATCCTTCCCAATTGACGACCTTATCGACTGAAGCCATTCGTCCACAAGTCCAAGCCATCAAACACAGGAACAACGAACGCACATTCTGAAACCGACACTTTGAAGAAGTTTTTTTAATCAAACAATAAAGAAAATTAAAGAAAAATGTTTCAAATGTAGGGCAACGTTATGATCACAGTCTTTCTACAACTTTAGCTCAACAAGGCCACTTAGTCACGAGAGTAAAATCAGGAATTGGACCACCTCACAACCACTGTGCATCACACCACATCAACAAGTAATCCGATATGACTACAAAGCACCACCTTAACGTGACGAAGTCTAGAAGGAACTTCAACACTCAAGTAGCTGTGAGAAGATGACAACACGTGGCACCTTTTACCATAAACACCACACATTTAACAGTGCCGATGATACAACCACCGGACAAAGCAACGCATCTATCGAAGTATAAAATTGTTGTCATCCTGAAATAAGTGAACACTTCTGGAACTTAAAAGGAAGACTTTTTTTTCCCGAACACATCATAGAGCATTCACAACATCACTCTAGCTTGGAGTACTGGAAATCACGGAAGTAATAATGTGTACCTTATTGATTGATCTAACAGAGACACAAACATGCACATTCCAGGACTTCAAGAGTTAACAGAAGTACTCAATACGTTGACCCTCCAGCCAGTCCAGCAGCCATCTCTCAGTATCCACCTGCATGGGGTCGAAAGAGGAATTGTTGCCAGGGCTCATTACATCCAGCAATCTCTCAGGATCCAACTGCATGAGGTCGAAAGTGGAATTGTTGCCAGGAGTCATTACATCCACTACATCCAGGCATCTCTCAGGATTCACCTGTATAGGGTCGACAGATGCATTATGTTCAGGACTCACTGCAGCACTTTGCATTTCACCTTTTGATTTCACTTCACTCTCATTGCGGATCTTCGCATGCTTGTTTCGTGGTGATGACCGTGTCCTTTCTAACGGAGAACAATTGAATGGCTTCTCGCCCGTGTGTGTTTTCTGGTGTCTGTTAAGAGTTGATTTCCGTGAAAATGCCTTCCCACACACAGAACACTTGAATGGTTTCTCGCCCGTGTGTGTTTTCTCGTGAGTGTTTAGATTTGCTTTCTGTGAAAATTCATTCCCACACACAGAGCACTTGAATGGCTTCTCGCCCGTGTGTATTTTCTTGTGAGTGTTAAGATTTGATTTCCATGCAAATGCCTTCCCACACACAGAGCAATTGAACGGCTTCTCGCCCGTGTGTGTGTGGCACTGTGGAGAGTTCATCTGCTCCATGTGACTGATTCTACAGAGCAGAGTAACAGTCGCGGGTGTTGTTGAGAGTTAACGGCGCCCTCTAAGCTGCGTGGCTCAAATCGCCAAAAAGCAAACTCTCACGAACGTCCAACCGAGACACAGTAACGCCCCGTGAGACGGACTACAAACGCGATTACCAGTTTATCCACTAACAAAGACACTTACTTGTTGATGCACGGTGTATCGATGACCCTGTAACCCGTCTGAAGAGATCGCCACGAACTCTCCCGAAACAAAGTCGCCAACCAGTCGCCAAGCAATCGTGCTCGCCAGGCTGGGTCTCGCAGGAGAAGGGAAATCTGCAGAGCGAGGAGTCGAGCGTCTATCCTCAGTAAAATTCCTCTCCAAATGGTCTTGAGGTCTGATTTTAAGCCCCTTATAACTCCCCTCTAGCATCCAAATCCTTTGTTCTCGACTTGGCCTATCATGGACTTTGCATTCAATTGTTAATTTTCACATTTACAATCCGCAGATCAATCAACAAAGCTTAGCTAATCTGGCCATTTAAATTAAACCTTACTATGTATGTACATCCCACTGCATAATTGTACGCTTCGGTTTGAATTAAGATGTACATCTCCATGCATAATTCCGTGCTTCCTGTTGATTTGCTAATATTCACCCCGCAATGTCCTCTACACTGCTGCAAGTTTAAAGGATTAAACAACGACATATAGTCTAAAGAATCAAAATGCTGTTGTCCAGTTTGATTTGGACAAAGAGGTGCAAATTCACAATGTACTGACTTTGTTTCATAAATATCTTGAAGGACACTCGTGTTGAGCGAGGTGTTTCTAGAACACGAGGTTGTTATGCTATAATTTCCGTCATAAACTTTGAGTAGTCATCTCAAAGTATGTATGTACACCCCTGTATATGCACACTCGTGCGTGAATGCACACCGCTGTATATAAACAGTCGTGTTAGGATACATACTCGTGTGTTCATGGCTACTTGTCCATATTCTTTTTAATGGAAGGAAATGGTAGCAATAATGTACGATCAGTCATCTTTAAGAACACAAATCAGGTCATTATTAATCTTTATTAATTCGCTTTTACAAACGGTTAAGGAACTGTGAAAATAATTCAACTTTCATTAATTCAACAGTCATAAAATATTCTCAAAATCAAACACGTGAACGTCTTAATCCTTCCCAATTGACGTCATTATCGACTGAAGCCATTCGTCCACAAGTCCAAGCCATCAAACACAGGAACAACGAACGCACATTCTGAAACCGACACTTTGAAGAAGTTTTTTTAATCAAACAATAAAGAAAATTAAAGAAAAATGTTTAAAATATAGGGCAACGTTATGATCACAGTCTTTCTCCAACTTTAGCTCAACAAGGCCACTTAGTCACGAGAGTAAAATCAGGAATTGGACCACCTCACAACCACTGTGCATCACACCACATCAACAAGTAATCCGATATGACTACAAAGCACCACCTTAACGTGACGAAGTCTAGAAGGGACTTAAACACTCAAGTAGCTGTGAGAAGATAACAACACGTGGCACCTTCTACCATAAACACCACACATTTAACAGTGCCGATGATACAACCACCGGACGAAGCAACGCATCTATCGAAGTATAAAATTGTTGTCATCCTGAAATAAGTGAACACTTCTGAAGCGTAAAAGGAATTACCTTTTTTTCTCGAACACATCATAGAGCATTCACAACATCACTCTAGCTTGGAGTACTGGAAATCACGGAAGTAATAATGTGTACCTTATTGATTGATCTAACAGAGACACAAACATGCACATTCCAGGACTTCAAGAGTTAACAGAAGTACTCAATACGTTGACCCTCCAGCCACTCCAGCAGCCATCTCTCAGTATCCACCTGCATGGGGTCGAAAGAGGAATTGTTGCCAGGGCTCATTACATCCAGCAATCTCTCAGGATCCAACTGCATGAGGTCGAAAGTGGAATTGTTGCCAGGAGTCATTACATCCACTACATCCAGGCATCTCTCAGGATCCACCTGTATAGGGTCGACAGATTCATTTTGTTCAGGACTCACTGCAGCACTTTGCATTTCACCTTTTGATCTCACTTCACTCTCATTGCGGATCTTCGCATGCTTGTTTCGGGGTGATGACCGTGTCCTCTCCAACGGAGAACAATTGAATGGCTTCTCGCCCGTGTGTGTTTTCTGGTGTCTGTTAAGAGTTGTTTTCCGTGCAAATGCCTTCCCACACAATGAGCAATTGAACGGCTTCTCACCCGAGTGTATTTTCTTGTGAGTGTTAAGATTTGATTTCTGTGCAAATGCCTTCCCACACACAGAGCAATTGAATGGCTTCTCGCCCGTGTGTGCGTGGCACTGTGGAGAGTTCATCTGCTCCATGTGACTGATTCTACAGAGCAGAGTAACAGTCGCGGGTGTTGTTGAGAGTTAACGGCGCCCTCTAAGCTGCGTGGCTCAAATCGCCAAAAAGCAAACTCTCACGAACGTCCAACCGAGACACAGTAACGCCCCGTAAGACGGACTAGACACGCGATTACCAGGTTATCCACTAACAAAGACACTTACTTGTTGATGCACGGTGTATCGATGTCCCTGTAACCCGTCTAAAGAGATCGCCACGAACTCTCCCGAAGCAAAGTCGCCAACCAGTCGCCAAGCAATCGTGCTCGCCAGGCTGAGTCTCGCAGGAGAAGGGAAATCTGCAGAGCGAGGAGTCGAGCGTCTATCCTCAGTAAAATTCCTCTCGAAATGGTCTTGATGTCTGATTTTAAGCCCCTTATAACTCCCCTCTAGCATCCAAATCCTTTGTTCTCGATTTGGCCTATCATGGACTTTGCATTCAATTGTTAATTTTTACATTAACAATCCGCAGATCAATCAAACTAGCTTAGCTAATCTGGCCATTTAAATTAAACCTTAATATGTTTGTACATCCCACTGCATAAGTGTACACTTCCGTTTGAATAAAATGTACATCTCCATGCATAATTCTGTGCTTCCTGTTAATTTGCTAATATTCACCCGGCTATGCCCTCTAAACTTGCAGCAGTTTAGAAGATTTAACAGTGACATACAGTCAGAAGTATCAAAATGAAGACGTCGAGTTTGATTTGGACTAAGAGGTGCAAATTTACAGTGTACTGACTTTGTTTCATTAATATATTTAAGGACACTCGTGTTGAGCGGGGTGTTTCTAGAAAACGAGGTTGTTATGTTATCATTTAAGTCATAAACTTTGAGTAATCAGCGGAATAGATTAGCTTGTAAGCGTGGTTTAACATAACGTACCGCAAAAAAATCAATCATCCATATTTAGTCTTCAGTGTGTATGTATACTCTTGTGTATGTGTTCAATATTTATGCACGTTTTTTATTAATATTTTGGACGTGTTTTTGTTACGGGAACTGCATTGAATATGGAGGTGTTACCAGCACCTCGCACCCGTCCAGAGACCTCGTGGGCCGCTGTGGTGGCTACGAGACCTCCCTCAAGGACATTGCTCTTATCCACCACAGCGTTACCGACCGGGAACGCCGATGAGGTTGAAGGTTGTTAATACAGAACTTTATTCGTGGCAGGGGAATGCCAAACAACATGGAGTGGCTCTTCTTCTGAGAATGAAAACCCGTATACGTATGTGTGTGTGTATGTATGCAGGTACAATCGTGCGTGTTAGCAGTGGAACGCAATCCTTGTGTTCGTACACTGCTGTGTATGTACACTGCGTTGTATGTCTGTATGTATGTACACCCCTGTATATGCACACTCGTGTGTGAATGCACACCGCTGTATATATAAACAGTCCTGTTAGGATGCACACTCTTGTGTGAATGTCTACTCGGAAATGTTATTTTTAAGGAAGGAAATGGTAGCAATAATGTACGATCAGTCAACTTTAAGATCACAAATCAGGTCTTTATGAATCTTTATTAATTCGCTTTTTCAAACAGTTAAGGTACTATGAAAATAATTAAACTTTCATTAATTCAACAGTCATAAAATATTCTCAAAATCAAACACGTGAACATCTTAATCCTTCCCAATTGACGTCCTTATTGACTGAAGCCATTCGTCCACAAGTCCAAGCCATCAAACACAGGAACAACGAACGCAAATTCTGAAACCGACACTTTGAAAATTAAAGAAAAATGTTAAAAATATAGGGCAACGTTATGATCACAGTCTTTCTCCAACTTTAGCTCAACAATGCCACTTAGTCACGAGGGTAAAATCAGGAATGGACCACCTCACAACCACTGTGCATCACACCACATCAACAAGTAATCCGATATGACTACAAAGCACCACCTTAACGTGACGCAGTCTAGAAGGAACTTCAACACTCAAGTAGCTGTGAGAAGATGACAACACGTGGCACCTTCTACCATAAACACCACACATTTAACAGTCCCGATGATACAACCACCGGACGAAGCAACGCATCTATGGAAGTATAAAATTGTTGTCATCCTGAAATAAGCGAACACTTCTGGAACTTTAAAGGAATTCATTTTTTCTCGAACACATCATAGAGCATTAACAACATCACTCTAGCTTGGAGTACTGGAAATCACGGAAGTAATAATGTGTACCTTATTGATTGATCTAACAGAGACACAAAGATGCACATTCCAGGACTTCAAGAGTTAACAGAAGTACTCAATACTTTGACCCTCCAGCCACTCCAGCAGCCATTTCTCAGTATCCACCTGCATGGGGTCGATAGAGGAATAGTGGTCAGGGCTCATTACATCCAGCAATCTCTCAGGATCCAACTGCATGAGGTCGAAAGTGGAATTGTTGCCAGGAGTCATTACATCCACTACATCCAGGCATCTCTCAGGATTCACCTGTATAGGGTCGACAGATTCATTTTGTTTTCCATGCAAATGCCTTCCCACACGCAGAGCAAGTGAATGGCTTCTCGCCCGTGAGTTTTCTGGTGACTCTGAAGATGTGATTTCTTTGAAAATTCCTTCCCACACACATAGCACCTGAATGGCTTATCACCCGTGTGTGTTTTCTGGTGACTCTGAAGATGTGATTCCTGTGCAAATGCCTTCCCACACACAGAGCAATTGAACGGCTTCTCGCCCGTTTGTGTTTTCTGGTATTTGTTAAGAGCTGATTTATCCGCAAATGCCTTCCCACACACAGAGCACTTGAATGGCTTCTCGCCCGTGTGTGTTTTCTTGTGAGTGTTAAGATTTGATTTCTATGCAAATGCCTTCCCACAGACAGAGCACTTGAATGACTTCTCACCCGTGTGTATTTTCTTGTGAGTGTTAAGATTTGATTTCTGTGCAAATGCCTTCCCACACACAGAGCACTTGAATGGCTTCTCGCCCGTGTGTATTTTCTTGTGAGTGTTAAGATTTGATTTCTGTACAAATGCCTTCCCACACACAGAGCACTTGAATGGCTTCTCGCCCGTGTGTGTTTTCTTGTGAGTGTTAAGATTTGATTTCTATGCAAATGCCTTCCCACAGACAGAGCACTTGAATGACTTCTCACCCGTGTGTGTTTTCTTGTGAGTGTTAAGATTTGATTTCTGTGCAAATGCCTTCCCACACACAGAACAATTGAACGGCTTCTCGCCCGTGTATGCGTGGCACGGTTTAGAGTTCATCTGCTCCATGTGACAGATTCTACAGAGCAGAGTAAAAGTCGCGGGTGTTGTTGAGAGTTAACGGCGCCTTCTAAGCTGCATGGCTCAAATCGCCAAAAAGCAAACTCTCACGAACGTCCAATCGAGACACAGTAACGTCTCGTAAGACGGACGACACACGCGATTACCTGGCTATCCACTAAAAAAGACACTTACTTGTTGATGCACGGTGTATCGATGACCCTGTAACCCGTCTAAAGAGATCGCCACGAACTCTCCCGAAGCAAAGTCGCCAACCAGTCGCCAAGCAATCGTGCTCGCCAGGCTGAGTCTCGCAGGAGAAGGGAAATCTGCAGAGCGATGAGTCGAGCGTCTATCCTCAGGAAAATTCCCTCTCGAAATGGTCTTGAGGTCTGATTTTAAAGCCCCTTATAACTCCCCTCTAGCATCCAAATCCTTTGTTCTCGATTTGGCCTGTCATGGACTTTGCATTCAATTGTAGATTTGTAACATTTACAATCCGCATATAAATCAACAAAGCTTAGCTAATCTGGCCATTTAGATTAAGCCTTAATAAGTATGTACATCCCACTGCATAATTGTACACTTCCGTTTGAATAAAGATGTACATCTCCAAGCATAATTCAGTGCTTCCTGTTGATTTGCTAATATTCACCCCGCAATGTCCTCTACACTGCTGCAAGTTTAAAGGATTAAACAACGACATATAGTCTAAAGAATCAAAATGCTGTTGTCCAGTTTGATTTGGACAACGAGGTGCAAATTTACAGTGTACTGACTTTGTATCATAAATATATTGAAGGACACTCGTGTTGAGCGGGGTGTTTCTAGAAAACAAGGTTGATATGTTATCATTTCCGTCATAAACTTTGAGTGGTCATCTCAAAGTATGTATGTACACCCCTGTATATGCACACTCGTGCGTGAATGCACACCGCTGTATATATACAGTCGTGTTAGGATACACACTCGTGTGTGCATGGCTACTTGTCCATATTCTTTTTAAGGAAGGAAATGGTAGCAATAATGTACGATCAGTCATCTTTAAGAACACAAATCAGGTCTTTATTAATCTTTATTAATTCGCTTTTTCAAACAGTTGAGGAACTATGAAAATAATTTCACTTTCATTAATTCAACAGTCATAAAATATTCTCAAAATCAAACACGTGAACGTCTTAATCATTCCCAATTGACGTCTATATCGACTGAAGCCATTCGTCCACAAGTCCAAGCCATCAAACACAGGAACAACGAACGCACATTCTGAAACCGACACTTTGAAGAAGTTTTTTTTAATCAAACAATAAAGAAAATTAAAGAAAATGTTTAAAATATAGGGCAACGTTATGATCACAGTCTTTCTCCAACTTTAGCTCAACAAGGCCACTTAGTCACGACAGTAAAATCAGGAATTGGACCACCTCACAACCACTGTGCATCACACCACATCAACAAGTAATCCGATATGACTACAAAGCACCACCTTAACGTGACGAAGTCTAGAATAAACTACAACACTCAAGTAGCTGTGAGAAGATGACAACACGTGGCACCTTCTACCATAAACACCACACATTTAACAGTGCCGATTATACAACCACCGGACGAAGCAACGCATCTATGGAAGTATAAAATTGTTGTCATCCTGAAATAAGTGAACACTTCTGGAACTTAAAAGGAAGACTTTTTTCCCGAACACATCATAGAGCATTCACAACATCACTCTAGCTTGGAGTACTGGAAATCACGGAAGTAATAATGTGTACCTTATCGATTGATCTAACAGAGACACAAACATGCACATTCCAGGACTTCAAGAGTTAACAGAAGTACTCAATACTTTGACCCTCCAGCCACTCCAGCAGCCATTTCTCAGTATCCACCTGCATGGGGTCGAAAGAGGAATTGTGGTCAGGGCTCATTACATCCAGCAATCTCTCAGGATCCAACTGCATGAGGTCGAAAGAGGAATTGTTGCCAGGAGTCATTACATCCACTACATCCAGGCATCTCTCAGGATTCACCTGTATAGGGTCGAAAGATTCATTTTGTTCAGGACTCACTGCAGCACTTTGCATTTCACCTTTTGATTTCACTTCACTCTCATTGCGGATCTTCGCATGCTTGTTTCGGGGTGATGACCGTGTCCTCTCCAACGGAGAACAGTTGAATGACTTCTCGCCCGTGTGTGTTTTCTGGTGTCTGTTAAGAATTGTTTTCCGTGCAAATGCCTTCCCACACACAGAGCACTTGAACGGCTTCTCACCCGAGTGTGTTTTCTTGTGAGTGTTAAGAGTTGATTTCTGTGCAAATGCCTTCCCACACACAGAACAATGGAATGGCTTCTCGCCCGTGTGTGCTTGGCACTGTGGAGAGTTCATCTGCTCCATGTGACTGATTCTACAGAGCAGAGTAACAGTCGCGGGTGTTGTTGAGAGTTAACGGCGCCCTCTATGCTGCGTGGATGTGTGGCTCAAATCGCCAAAAAGCAAACGCTCACGAACGTCCAACCGAGACAAAGTAACGTCTCGTAAGTCGGACTACACACACGATTACCTGGCTATCCACTAACAAAGACACTTACTTGTTGATGCACGGTGTATCGATGACCCTGTTACCCGTCTAAGGAGATCGCCACGAACTCTCCCGAAGCAAAGTCGCCAACCAGTCGCCAAGCAATCGTGCTCGCCAGGCTGAGTCTCGCAGGAGAAGGGAAATCTGCAGAGCGATGAGTCGAGCGTCTATCCTCAGGAAAATTCCTCTCGAAATGATCTTGAGGTCTGATTTTATGCCCCTTATAACTCCCCTCTACCATCCAAATCCTTTGTTCTCGATTTGGCCTATCATGGACTTTGCATTCAATTGTAGATTTGTAACATTTACAATCCGCATATAAATCAACAAAGCTTAGCTAATCTGGCCATTTAGATTAAGCCTTAATAAGTATGTACATCCCACTGCATAATTGTACACTTCCGTTTGAATAAAGATGTACATCTCCAAGCATAATTCAGTGCTTCCTGTTGATTTGCTAATATTCACCCCGCAATGTCCTCTACACTGCTGCAAGTTTAAAGGATTAAACAACGACATATAGTCTAAAGAATCAAAATGCTGTTGTCCAGTTTGATTTGGACAACGAGGTGCAAATTTACAGTGTACTGACTTTGTATCATAAATATATTGAAGGACACTCGTGTTGAGCGGGGTGTTTCTAGAAAACAAGGTTGATATGTTATCATTTCCGTCATAAACTTTGAGTGGTCATCTCAAAGTATGTATGTACACCCCTGTATATGCACACTCGTGCGTGAATGCACACCGCTGTATATATACAGTCGTGTTAGGATACACACTCGTGTGTGCATGGCTACTTGTCCATATTCTTTTTAAGGAAGAAAATGGTAGCAATAATGTACGATCAGTCATCTTTAAGAACACAAATCAGGTCTTTATTAATCTTTATTAATTCGCTTTTTCAAACAGTTGAGGAACTATGAAAATAATTTCACTTTCATTAATTCAACAGTCATAAAATATTCTCAAAATCAAACACGTGAACGTCTTAATCATTCCCAATTGACGTCCTTATCGACTGAAGCCATTCGTCCACAAGTCCAAGCCATCAAACACAGGAACAACGAACGCACATTCTGAAACCGACACTTTGAAGAAGTTTTTTTTAATCAAACAATAAAGAAAATTAAAGAAAATATTTAAAATATAGGGCAACTTTATGATCACAGTCTTTCTCCAACTTTAGCTCAACAAGGCCACGTAGTCACGACAGTAAAATCAGGAATTGGACCACCTCACAACCACTGTGTATCACACCACATCAACAAGTAATCCGATATGACTACAAAGCACCACCTTAACGTGACGAAGTCTAGAAGGAACTTCAACACTCAAGTAGCTGTGAGAAGATGACAACACGTGGCACCTTCTACCATAAACACCACACATTTAACAGTGCCGATGATACAACCACCGGACGAAGCAACGCATCTATCGAAGTATAAAATTGTTGTCATCCTGAAATAAGTGAACACTTCTGGAACTTAAAAGGAAGACTTTTTTTCCCGAACACTTCATAGAGCATTCACAACATCATTCGAGCTTGGAGTACTGCAAATCAAGGAAGTAATACTGTGTACCTTATCGATTGATTTAACAGAGACACAAACATGCACATTCCAGGACTTCAAGAGTTAACATAAGTTCTCAATACTTTGACCCTCCAGCCACTCCAGCAGCCATTTCTCAGTATCCACCTGCATGGGGTCGAAAGAGGAAATGTTGCCAGGGCTCATTACATCCAGCAATCTCTCAGGATCCAACTGCATGAGGTCGAAAGTGGAATTGTTGCCAGGAGTCATTACATCCACTACATCCAGGCATCTCTCAGGATTCACCTGTATAGGGTCGACAGATTCATTTTGTTCAGGACTCACTGCAGCACTTTGCATTTCACCTTTTGATTTCACTTCACTCTCATTGCGGATCTTCGCATGTTTGTTTCGGGGTGATGACCGTGTCCTCTCCAACGGAAAACAATTGAATGACTTCTCGCCCGTGTGTGTTTTATGGTGTCTGTTAAGAGATGATTTCTCTGCAAATGCCTTCCCACACACAGAACAATTGAATGGCTTCTCACCCGTGTGTGTTTTCTGGTGTCTGTTAAGAATTGTTTTCCATGAAAATTTCTTCCCACACAAGGAGCACTTGAATGGCTTCTCGCCCGTGTGTGTTTTCTGGTGACTGTGAAGATGTGATTTCTGTGCAAATGCCTTCCCACACACAGAGCACTTGACTGACTTCTCACCAGTGTGTATTTTCTGGTGTCTGTTAAGAGATGATTTCTCTGCAAATGCCTTCCCACAAACAGAACAATTGAATGGCTTCTCGCCCGTGTGTGTTTTCTGGTGTCTGTTAAGAATTGTTTTCCTTGCAAATGCCTTCCCACACAATGAGCAATTGAACGGCTTCTCGCCCGTGTGTGTTTTTTGGTGTCTGTTAAGAATTGTTTTCCGTGCAAATGCGTTCCCACACAATGAGCAATTGAACGGCTTCTCACCCGAGTGTGTTTTCTTGTGAGTGTTAAGATTTGATTTCCATGCAAATGCCTTCCCACACACAGAGCAATTGAACGGCTTCTCGCCCGTGTGTGCTTGGCACTGTGGAGAGTTCATCTGCTCCATGTGACTGATTCTACAGAGCAGAGTAACAGTCGCGGGTGTTGTTGAGAGTTAACGGCGCCCGCTATGCTGCGTGGATGTGTGGCTCAAATCGCCAAAAATCAAACTCTCACGAACGTCCAACCGAGACCCAGTAACGCCCCGTGAGTCGGACTACACACGCGATTACCTGGTTATCCACTAACAAAGACACTTACTTGTTGATGCACGGTGTATCGATGACCCTGTAACCCGTCTGAAGAGATCGCCACGAACTCTCCCGAAGCAAAGTCGCCAACCAGTCGCCAAGCAATCGTGCTCGCCAGGCTGAGTCTCGCAGGAGAAGGGAAATCTGCAGAGCGATGAGTCGAGCGTCTATCCTCAGGAAAATTCCTCTCCAAATGGTCTTGAGGTCTGATTTTAAGCCCCTTATAACTCCCCTCTAGCATCCAAATCCTTTGTTCTCGATTTGGCCTATCATGGACTTTGCATTCAATTGTTAATTTTTACATTAACAATCCGGAGATCAATCAACCTAGCTTAGCTAATCTGGCACATTGTACTTAAACCTTAATAAGTATGTACATCCCACTGCATTATTGTACGCTTCCGTTTGAATAAAGATGTACATCTCCAAGCATTATTCTGAGGTTCCTGCTAATTTGCTAATATTCACCCCGCAATGTCCTCTACACTGCTGCAAGATTTTCAGGATTTTAAAGCGAATCACAGTGTGAATTATCAACATAAAGAGTTTTATTTGGACTAAGAGGTGCAAATTTATACTGTACTGACTTTGTTTCATAAATATATTTAAGGACACCTGTGTTGAGCGGGGTGTTTCTAGAAAACGAGGTTGTTATGTTATAATTTCCGTCATAAACTTTGAGTAATCATCTGAATGGTTTAGCTTTGTAAGCGTGGTTTAACATAACGTACCGCAAAAAAACATCAATCATCCATATTTAGTCTTCAGTGTGTATGTATACTCTTGTGTATGTGCTCAATATTTATGCACGTGTTTTATATTTTGGACGTGTTTTTGTTACGGTAACTGCATTGAATATGGAGGTGTTACCAGCACCTCGCACCCGTCCAGAGACCTCGTGGGCCGCTGTGGTGGCTACGAGACTTCCCTCAAGGACATTGCTCTTATCCACCACAGCGTTACCGACCGGGAACGCCGATGAAGTTGAAGGTTGTTAATACAGAACTTTATTCGTGGCAGGGGAATGCCAAACAACATGGAGTGGCTCTTCTTCTGAGAATGAAAACCCGTATAGGTATGTGTGTGTGTATGTGTGCAGGTACAATCGTGCGTGTTCGCAGTGGAACGCAATCCTTGTGTTCGTACACTGCTGTGTATGTACACTGCGTTCTATGTCTGTATGTATACCCCTGTATATGCACACTCGTGTGTGAATGCACACCGCTGTATATATAAACAGTCGTGTTAGGATGCACACTCGTGTGTGAATGTCTACTCGTCCATGTTCTTTTAAAGGAAGGATATGGTAGCAATAATGTACGAACAGTCATCTTTAAAAACACAAATCAGGTCTTTATTAATCTGCAACAATATCAACGTTAAAACTCGCATCAAAATCTTTATTAATTCGCTTTTTCAAAGAGTTAAGGAACCAGGAAAATAATTTCACTTTCATTAATTCAACAGTCATAAAATATTCTCAAAATCAAACACGTGAACGTCTTAATCATTCCCAATTGACGTCCTTATCGACTGAAGCCATTCGTCCACAAGTCCAAGCCATCAAACACAGGAACAACGAACGCACATTCTGAAACCGACACTTTGAAGAAGTTTTTTTTAATCAAACAATAAAGAAAATTAAAGAAAATATTTAAAATATAGGGCAACTTTATGATCACAGTCTTTCTCCAACTTTAGCTCAACAAGGCCACGTAGTCACGACAGTAAAATCAGGAATTGGACCACCTCACAACCACTGTGTATCACACCACATCAACAAGTAATCCGATATGACTACAAAGCACCACCTTAACGTGACGAAGTCTAGAAGGAACTTCAACACTCAAGTAGCTGTGAGAAGATGACAACACGTGGCACCTTCTACCATAAACACCACACATTTAACAGTGCCGATGATACAACCACCGGACGAAGCAACGCATCTATCGAAGTATAAAATTGTTGTCATCCTGAAATAAGTGAACACTTCTGGAACTTAAAAGGAAGACTTTTTTTCCCGAACACTTCATAGAGCATTCACAACATCATTCGAGCTTGGAGTACTGCAAATCAAGGAAGTAATACTGTGTACCTTATCGATTGATTTAACAGAGACACAAACATGCACATTCCAGGACTTCAAGAGTTAACATAAGTTCTCAATACTTTGACCCTCCAGCCACTCCAGCAGCCATTTCTCAGTATCCACCTGCATGGGGTCGAAAGAGGAAATGTTGCCAGGGCTCATTACATCCAGCAATCTCTCAGGATCCAACTGCATGAGGTCGAAAGTGGAATTGTTGCCAGGAGTCATTACATCCACTACATCCAGGCATCTCTCAGGATTCACCTGTATAGGGTCGACAGATTCATTTTGTTCAGGACTCACTGCAGCACTTTGCATTTCACCTTTTGATTTCACTTCACTCTCATTGCGGATCTTCGCATGTTTGTTTCGGGGTGATGACCGTGTCCTCTCCAACGGAAAACAATTGAATGACTTCTCGCCCGTGTGTGTTTTATGGTGTCTGTTAAGAGATGATTTCTCTGCAAATGCCTTCCCACACACAGAACAATTGAATGGCTTCTCACCCGTGTGTGTTTTCTGGTGTCTGTTAAGAATTGTTTTCCATGAAAATTTCTTCCCACACAAGGAGCACTTGAATGGCTTCTCGCCCGTGTGTGTTTTCTGGTGACTGTGAAGATGTGATTTCTGTGCAAATGCCTTCCCACACACAGAGCACTTGACTGACTTCTCACCAGTGTGTATTTTCTGGTGTCTGTTAAGAGATGATTTCTCTGCAAATGCCTTCCCACAAACAGAACAATTGAATGGCTTCTCGCCCGTGTGTGTTTTTTGGTGTCTGTTAAGAATTGTTTTCCGTGCAAATGCGTTCCCACACAATGAGCAATTGAACGGCTTCTCACCCGAGTGTGTTTTCTTGTGAGTGTTAAGATTTGATTTCCATGCAAATGCCTTCCCACACACAGAGCAATTGAACGGCTTCTCGCCCGTGTGTGCTTGGCACTGTGGAGAGTTCATCTGCTCCATGTGACTGATTCTACAGAGCAGAGTAACAGTCGCGGGTGTTGTTGAGAGTTAACGGCGCCCGCTATGCTGCGTGGATGTGTGGCTCAAATCGCCAAAAATCAAACTCTCACGAACGTCCAACCGAGACCCAGTAACGCCCCGTGAGTCGGACTACACACGCGATTACCTGGTTATCCACTAACAAAGACACTTACTTGTTGATGCACGGTGTATCGATGACCCTGTAACCCGTCTGAAGAGATCGCCACGAACTCTCCCGAAGCAAAGTCGCCAACCAGTCGCCAAGCAATCGTGCTCGCCAGGCTGAGTCTCGCAGGAGAAGGGAAATCTGCAGAGCGATGAGTCGAGCGTCTATCCTCAGGAAAATTCCTCTCCAAATGGTCTTGAGGTCTGATTTTAAGCCCCTTATAACTCCCCTCTAGCATCCAAATCCTTTGTTCTCGATTTGGCCTATCATGGACTTTGCATTCAATTGTTAATTTTTACATTAACAATCCGGAGATCAATCAACCTAGCTTAGCTAATCTGGCACATTGTACTTAAACCTTAATAAGTATGTACATCCCACTGCATTATTGTACGCTTCCGTTTGAATAAAGATGTACATCTCCAAGCATTATTCTGAGGTTCCTGCTAATTTGCTAATATTCACCCCGCAATGTCCTCTACACTGCTGCAAGATTTTCAGGATTTTAAAGCGAATCACAGTGTGAATTATCAACATAAAGAGTTTTATTTGGACTAAGAGGTGCAAATTTATACTGTACTGACTTTGTTTCATAAATATATTTAAGGACACCTGTGTTGAGCGGGGTGTTTCTAGAAAACGAGGTTGTTATGTTATAATTTCCGTCATAAACTTTGAGTAATCATCTGAATGGTTTAGCTTTGTAAGCGTGGTTTAACATAACGTACCGCAAAAAAACATCAATCATCCATATTTAGTCTTCAGTGTGTATGTATACTCTTGTGTATGTGCTCAATATTTATGCACGTGTTTTATATTTTGAACGTGTTTTTGTTACGGTAACTGCATTGAATATGGAGGTGTTACCAGCACCTCGCACCCGTCCAGAGACCTCGTGGGCCGCTGTGGTGGCTACGAGACTTCCCTCAAGGACATTGCTCTTATCCACCACAGCGTTACCGACCGGGAACGCCGATGAAGTTGAAGGTTGTTAATACAGAACTTTATTCGTGGCAGGGGAATGCCAAACAACATGGAGTGGCTCTTCTTCTGAGAATGAAAACCCGTATAGGTATGTGTGTGTGTATGTGTGCAGGTACAATCGTGCGTGTTCGCAGTGGAACGCAATCCTTGTGTTCGTACACTGCTGTGTATGTACACTGCGTTCTATGTCTGTATGTATACCCCTGTATATGCACACTCGTGTGTGAATGCACACCGCTGTATATATAAACAGTCGTGTTAGGATGCACACTCGTGTGTGAATGTCTACTCGTCCATGTTCTTTTAAAGGAAGGATATGGTAGCAATAATGTACGAACAGTCATCTTTAAAAACACAAATCAGGTCTTTATTAATCTGCAACAATATCAACGTTAAAACTCGCATCAAAATCTTTATTAATTCGCTTTTTCAAAGAGTTAAGGAACCAGGAAAATAATTTCACTTTCATTAATTCAACAGTTATAAAATATTCAAAAAACCAAACACGTGAACGTCTTAATCCTTCCCAATTGACGTCCTTATCGACTGAAGCCATTCATCGACAAGTCCAAGCCATCAAACACAGGAACAACGAACGCACATTCTAGAAACTGACACTTTGAAGAAGTTATTTTAATCAAACAATAAAGAAAATTAAAGAAAAATGTTTAAAATATAAGGCAACGTTATGATCACAGTCTTTCTCCAACTTTAGCTCAACAAGGCCACTTAGTCACGACAGTAAAATCAGGAATTGGACCACCTCACAACCACTGTGTATCACACAACATCAACAAGTAATCCGATATGACTACAAAGCACCACCTTAACGTGACGAAGTCTAGAATAAACTACAACACTCAAGTAGCTGTGAGAAGATGACAACACGTGGCACCTTCTACCATAAACACCACACATTTAACCGTCCCGATGATACAACCACCAGACGAAGCAACGCATCTATGGAAGTATAAAATTGTTGTCATCCTGAAATAAGTGAACACTTCTGAAGCTTAAAAGGAATTCCTTTTTATCCCAACACATCATAGAGCATTCACAACATCGCTCTAGCTTGGAGTACTGGAAATCACGGAAGTAATAATGTGTACCTTATCGATTGATCTAACAGAGACACAAACATGCACATTCCAGGACTTCAAGAGTTAACAGAAGTCCTCAAAACTTTGACCCTCCAGCCACTCCAGCAGCGATTTCTCAGCATCCACCTGCATGAGGTCGAAAGAGTAATTGTTGCCAGGACTCATTACCTCCACTACATCCAGCCATCCCGTGTGAATTTTCTGGTGACTGTGAAGATTTGATTTCCATGCAAATGCCTTCCCACACGCAGAGCAAGTGAATGGCTTCTCGCCCGTGTGAGTTTTCTGGTGACTGTGAAGAATTGTTTTCCGTGCAAATGCCTTCCCACACACAGAACACTTGAATGGCTTCTCGCCAGTGTGTGTTTTCTGATGACTCTGAAGATGTGATTTCTGTGCAAATGCCTTCCCACACACAGAGCAATTGAACGGCTTCTCGCCTGTGTGAGTTTTCTGGTGACTCTGAAGATGTGATTTCTGTGAAAATTCCTTCCCACACACAGAGCAATTGAACGGCTTCTCGCCTGTGTGTGTTTTCTGGTGTCTGCTAAGAGTTGATTTCCGTGAAAATGCCTTCACACACACAGAACAATGGAATGGCTAACAGAGACACAAACATGCACATTCCAGGACTTCAAGAGTTAACAGAAGTACTCAATACTTTGATCTTCCAGCCATTCCAGCAGCCATTTCTCAGTATCCACCTGCATGAGGTCGAAAGAGGAATTGTGGTCAGGGCTCATTACATCCAGCAATCTCTCAGGATCCAACTGCATGAGGTCGAAAGAGGAATTGTTGCCAGGAGTCATTACATCCACTACATCCAGGCATCTCTCAGGATCCACCTGAATAGGGTCGATAGATTCATTTTGTTCAGGACTCACTGCAGCACTTTGCATTACACCTTTTGATTTCACTTCACTCTCATTGCAGATCTTCGCATGCTTGTTTCGGGGTGATGACCGTGTCCTCTCCAACGGAAAACAATTGAATGGCTTCTCACCCGTGTGTGTTTTATGGTGTCTGTTAAGATTTGATTTCTGTGCAAATGCCTTCCCACACAAGGAGCACTTGAATGTCTTCTCGCCCGTGTGTGTTTTCTTGTGAGTGTTAAGATTTGATTTCTATGCAAATGCCTTCCCACAGACAGAGCACTTGAATGGTTTATCACCAGTGTGTGTTTTCTTGTGAGTGTTAATATTTGATTTCTGTGCAAATGCCTTCCCACACACAGAGCACTTGAATGGCTTCTCGCCCGTGTGTATTTTCTTGTGAGTGTTAAGATTTGATTTCTGTGCAAATGCCTTCCCACACACAGAGCACTTGAATGCCTTCTCGCCCGTGTGTGTTTTCTTGTGAGTGTTAAGATTTGATTTCTGTGCAAATGCATTCCCACACACAGAGCACTTGAATGGCTTCTCGCCCGTGTGTGCGTGGCACTGTGGAGAGTTCATCTGCTCCATGTGACAGATTCTACAGACCAGAGTAACAGTCGCGGGTGTTGTTGAGAGTTAACGGCGCCCTATAAGCTGCATGGCTCAAATCGCCACAAAGCCAACTCTCACGAACGTCCAACCGAGACCCAGTAACGCCCCGTGAGACGGACTACACACGCGATTACCAGGTTATCCACTAACAAAGACACTCACTTGTTGATGCACGGTGTATCGATGACCCTGTAACCCGTCTGAAGAGATCGCCACGAACTCTCCCGAAGCAAAGTCGCCAACCAGTCGCCAAGCAATCGTGCTCGCCAGGCTGAGTCTCGCAGGAGAAGGGTAATCTGCAGAGCGAGGAGTCGAGCGTCTATCCTCAGTAATATTCCTCTCGAAATGATATTGAGGTCTGATTTTAAGCCACTTATAACTCCCCTCTAGCATCCAAATCCTTTGTTCTCGACTTGGCCTATCATGGACTTTGCATTCAATTGTTAATTTTCACATTTACAATCCGCATATCAATCAACGTAGCTTAGCTAATCTGGCCATTGTAATTAGCCCTTAATATGTATGTACATCCCACTGTATAATTGTACACTTCCGTTTGAATAAAGATGTACATCTCCATGCATAATTCCGTGCTTCCTGTTAATTTGCTAATATTCACCCCGCAATGTCCTCTACACTGCTGCAAGTTATTCAGGATTTAATAGCGACACACAGTCTGAAGTATCAACATGGAGATGTCGAGTTTGACTTGGACTAAGAGGTGCAAGTTTATACCGTACTGACTTTGTTTCATAAATATATCTCAGGAGACTCGTGTTGAGCAGGGTGCTTCTAGCAAACGGGTGTGTTATGTTACGATGTCTATCATAAACATTGAATAATCATCTGAATGGTTTAGCCTATAAGCGTGGTTTATAATAAAGTTACGCAATAATAATCAATCTTCACCATTTAGTCTGTAACATACGACCTTCGGTGTGTGTATATAGACCACTGTGTATTTGTGTTCAATATTTTGCAGGTGTTTAATATTTTTTACGTGTTTTTTGGTACTTGCATTGCATATTGAGGGGTTACCAGCCCCTCGCACCCATCCAGAACCTGGTCAACACGCTTTTAAGCATGCACTTCTTAGTGTAAGTATATATCCATTAACATTGCAATATTTTATACTGTATTTGACAGGTAAGGCCGATAAATCGATCACAGTTTACAGGCCATTTTAAATGTGCAAACTAACAACATGCACATAATTATGGAAGGAGATGCCCATCCGTATTCAAACGGAAGTGAACAATGATGCAGTGAAATGAACATTCCTACTTAGGCTTAAGCACAATGGCCACATGAGCTTAGGTATGTTGATAGATTATGAGGAGCGTCACCTACGGGAATAACAATTGAATGCAAGGAAGTTAATCAAGACAATTACAAATGATTCTAGCGAGATTACTTAAACGGGAAGAATAATCTCAACCGGTGTGCCGTAGCAAAGGCGAACAAATGGAATTAAATAAACAAAACTAATGACTTCACTAACACTCATTAAACACGGGGCCACTATTTAAAACATTATTAATAATTCCAAAGCGTGTTGAGCGGGGTGTTTCTAGAAAACGAGGTTGATATTTCGATTTAAAGCTTTCGTGACTGCAATGATTCATCTTCTTTGGTTCTTTCGGTAAAGTCACCACGTAGAATGAGAATAAAATAATAAATTGATAAAATAAAATAACACAATAATATTCTCACGACGTTTCGGCCACAACACAAGCGGCCTTCATTCTATTCATTCATTCATTCTATGCTAATTCCTTTTAACAATGGGTGCCTCTGCGGATGTGTATGCTTTAACTTTTAACATAGCTATTTCTCATAATAAAGGTTTTTGGGTTAGATCGCGTTTATTTATAAATGTGTCGTAACCCTCCACCACCCGACACGGCCAATCAGCAAAGAAAAGTGTCACGTTGACAAAAGACAAATAATTCACTACTTCAGCCCACCGGTGTGTTGAAGAGTTAATCCACATTTACAGTTTGAGTACGACGTTTCGCTGGTAAATACTTCCAGCATCATCAGGCAATTCGCCAGAATGGTAAAGCCCTCGCTTGCTCCCGGTTTTATATAGAGCAGAAGAGTGACGTCATCACTTAACTCATCAGGTGCAGTGAAACGTCGTACAACTCAAACTGTAAATGTGGATTAACTCTTCAACACACCGGTGGGCTGAAGTAGTGAATTATTTGTCTTTTGTCAACGTGACACTTTTCTTTGCTGATTGGCCGTGTCGGGTGGTGGAGGGTTACGACACATTTATAAATAAACGCGATCTAACCCAAAAACCTTTATTATGAATAATATTGGTCGCGAAAGCCTACGTGTTAAATAGCTATTTCTGTGACCAGTCACAAGCTAATCATTCAGCCATTTCAATGCTAAATTCTATGCTAATTCCTTCGTCAAGGCTCTTTGTTTCCTCTCACACAGCTTAAAAGGTCGTGATCTGAACGTGGCTCTCTCACTCCAGCGCTGTCCTACCAGACAGTCTCGCTCCCTTTCACCTGATGAAGGCCGCTTGTGTTGTGGCCGAAAACGTCTCGTGAGAATATTATTATCGTGTTATTTTATTTTATCAATTTATTATCATTCTTTTATTCTCATTCGAGGGACCCGTCCACGGCTGGCTGTCCGGGGCAGGTTGGAGACGCGGGGCTTCTTGTACAGCCGACCAAATTGGCGCACAGCCCCTCACAAAGAGCCCCGAGGGGCCTCAACCGCGGACGAAACAGCGGCGCACGCCATGGTGGAGGAGGAAGCCGTTGCCGGCCCGTTTCGCGCTGTCCAAGGTTGCGGCACGGAACGTCGTGTGGGGAGAGCTGCGGAGGGTGGTGGTGGTGGTGGTGGGGAGGGAGGGAGGGAGGGAGGGACAGGGGCCAGGCATGGGCTGTGATTGGGGGCGACGATGAAGGAGGCGCTGCGGAAAGCGCCAAAGAAGGATCCGGAGGCGCTCCGCGCTGGTGTCTCCTGCTGGAGACGTGTCTTGTTGCGAGGAGATTGTTGGAAGAGGGCGGTGGAAGGGTGGACCCGGGTGGTAAACGGGGGGGCACGCGAGAGAGAGAGAGAGAGAGGAGAGAGAGGAGAGATCCCGCAAGGGAACGATGGAAGTGGCCCGGGATTGGGGGAGGGCCTCGCCGGCGACCCGTGGGTGAAGGCGTCCGTGAGCGGTGAGGGTAGGCTGCCACCCTCCAGCGCTGTGCCAGGGGGTGACTCCGGTCCCCAGAGGATGGGTCGGTGGCCCGGCGGGGGGCCTTCGCTGCGCGAGCGAGGGGGCGGCCCCTCGGGGTCTTCTTTTGCCTTTGTTTTGCTTTGTTTGAGTTGTCTCCGCTGAGAGATGCTGAATATTACTTTTAAAAAAAAAAAACCACCGAAATCACCGGCGGAGCGTCACAGTACTACTCAAGCTGTGAATGTTGTGGATTCACTCTTCCACAACACCACCGGTGAGAGGCTAAAATAGGCGAACTAGTTTTGTCTTTTTGTCAACGTGACACTTTTTTGTTGTTGCTGATTGGCCGTGTCGGGTGGTGGAGGGTTACGACACATTTATAAATAAACGCGATCTAATCTAACCCAAAAAAAAAACCTTTATTTTGAATAATATTGGTCGCGAAAGCCTTACTGCTACGTGTTAAACTCTATTTAAAAGCTGTTACACTACGTGATGGGCGCTGTGACCAGAACTATGCTTGGCCACCTTGGTTTCATTGGGGTTGATGTTTTAACACCGTAGCAGGTACCAAGTTACGACTGAATACCACGGTAAATGAGGCCCAGGACAAGCTGTGGCATCAATCGCCACTCGCGTTGACTGTCACAGGGCATCAAACTCAAGTCGCGCTGTACAAACTACGGCACCACCGATACAAAGACAAAGATCCCCCGTATAGCCTTCACATACTGTAGGGGCAAGTGCTGTTAGCGAGCACCAGCTATGAAGGCCGGAACGGTACACGAGGGGGTGGGTGGCCAGCACCACGCCCGACCGCCTTTGTCTCCCCAGTGGCGATGTTTACACACCGCTACACCAGGTACTCATTTGAGGCTGAGTCGACCTAGGGGAGGCCCGGGACCGGTTCAGATGATCGTCACTGGTGTTGGCCGTGAGCGGGAATCGAACCCGTGTCGCCAGGTTCATAGCGCAGCGTAGCGCTAACCACTACACTACCGCTCCCCACACACACAGATACACAGACTCACACACACTCACTCATACGAGTCGTGTTTCATTATCATAGGATTTGTGTTTATTCACGTAAGATGAATGTCAGATAATATTTCAAAGTATCGTGCAATTGAACAAACAACTCCAGAATCACAATTGCCCAAGTTGCACGGATCAGCAATACCCCACAGACGACATTAACTACCGCATTTCAAAGATAAATTCAATCATTAGCATCATGAGAAACACAATCAGATGCACGTTATCATTAATTAATGTTCAGACAGATATCTAAACACTATGTGAAATCATCAAAAACATTACAGGTCAAGCAAACTGGTCGAGACAGGCATGTGGTTACGCACAATTACAATTCGCCACGCTTACATAATGTTTGCGATTCACCGCGAGATGAACCTCATTACAAGCGATTGGCCTTCGAGGCTCAGCACTGACAGAAACGAATCGGATCTCATTATGTTTGTTTTCACGATTAGATTCGAAACGCGGCTTAAGATTTGCCGACAATGAACGCAATCTCGCACGGCGACAGTGCCATGTTCATGGGAACTCATTTAGATTTTTTTTTTCAATCAAAGTGGCAAAGTTTCCTCTCTCAAATCATCGCCTCGTATCTATTTTGCAATCTTAAGCCAGCAGTGTGACCTCTGAATGTGGCAAAGTGGTGCTAATTGTATGCAATCTGGGGAAAAAGGAGATGGGTCGGGTCCTTGACTGGCACCACAATGACCCCCTTTGGAACATGCAATAAGTGTACGACAATGGAGTT